GAAAGTGGGCACAGAGGGACCTTACTTCAACATAATAGAGGCCATACATGACAAACCCATAGCTAGCATTATTCTCAATGGTGAAAAGCTGAAAACATTTCCTCTAAGATTAGGAAGAAGACAAGAATGTTTACTCTTGCCACTTTTATTCAACATAGTTTTCAAGTCCTAAGTATGACAGAGAAAAGAAGGAAAGAAAAGGAATCCAAATTGGAAAGGAAGAAAAACTGTCACTGTCTGCAGATGACATGATACTGTACACAGAAAATCCTAAAGATGCCATCAGAAAACTACTAGAGCTCACCAATGAATGTGGCAAATTTGCCGGATGCAAAATTAATATAGAAATCACTTGAATTCCTATACACTAACAACAAGAAGTCAGAAAGAGAAATCAAGGAAAACAGGGAACTTCCCTGCCTTCAATGGCTAGGACTCCACACTCCCAATGCAGGGGGCTTGGGTTCAATCCCTGTTCAGGGAACTAGATTCCACATGCTGCAATGAAAAGATTCTGCTTGCCACAATAGAGATCAAAGATCTCACGTGCCATAACTAAGACCTGGTGCAGCCAAATAAATATTTTTTAAAGAAAGAAACCAAGGAAATAATCCCCATTTGCCATCACATCAAAAAGAGTAAAACACCTAGGAATAAGCCTATCTAAGGAGATAAAAGAATTATACTCTGAAAATACTGGTGAAAGAATTGTGGATGACACAAACAGATGGAAAGATACACCATGCTCTTGGACCGGAAGAGTCACTATTGTCAAAACATGACTCTACTACCCAATGCAATCTACAGATTCAGTGCAATCCCTATCAAATTACCAATGGCATTTCTTACAAAACTAGAACAACAACAACAAAATGTTTAGATTTATACAGAAACACAGAAGACCTCAAATAGCCAAGCAATCCTGAGAAGAAAACCAGAGCTGAAGGAATCAGGCACCCTGACTTCAGACTAAACTACACAGCTATAGTAATCAAAACAGTAGGGTACCGGCACAAAACCAGAGATACAGATCAGTGGACCCAGAAGTAAACCCATGCACCTATGGTCAATTAATCTATGACAAAGGAAGCGAGAATATACAATGGAGAAAAGGCAGTCTCTTCAGTAAGTGGTGTGCTGGGAAAACTGGACAGTTACAATGTAGAAGAATGAAATTAGAACATCCTCTAACACCATACAGGCTTCCCTGGTGGCCCAACTGGTAAAGAATCTGCCTGCAATGCAGGAGACCTGGGCTTGATCCCTGGGTTGGGAAGATCCCTTGTAGAAGGGAATGGTTACCCACTCCAGTATTCTGGCCTGGAGAATTCCACGAACTGTATATCCATGGGGTCGCAGAGTCAGACACGACTTTCACTCACTAACACCATACACAAAAATAAACTCAAAATGGATTAAAGACCTAAAGCCAAACTCTATAAAGCTCCTAGAGGAAAACATAGGGCAAACACTCCTTAACATAAATCACAGCAGTATCTTCTTTGATCCACCTCCTAGAATAATGAAAATTTTAAAAATTTAAAAATGGGACCTAAATAAACTTAAAAGCTTCTGCACAACAAAGGAAACCATAAACAAAACAAAAATACAACCCACAGAATAGGAGAAAATATTTGCAAACAAAGTGACCGAGAAGGGATTAATCTCCAAAATATACAAATAGCTCATACAGTTCTATGCTAAAAAAAAAATCTAAATAGACATTTCTCTAAAGAAGACATACTAATGACTAAAAAGCACATGAAAAGATGCTCAACATCACTAATTTTTAGACAAATGTAAATGAAAACTACAGCAAGGTATCACCTCACACCAGTCAGAAGGGCCATCCTGAAAAAGTCTACAAACAGGGACTCCCCTGGTGGTCAAGCGTTTCGGACTCCGCGCTTCCAATGAAAATGTGAGTTCAATCCCTGGTCGGGGGACTTGATCCCAAATGCCACAACTAAGAGTTTGCATACTGCAACTAAAGATTCCAGGTGTCTCAACTAAGACCAGGCAGAGCCAGATAAATAAATAAGAAGTATATGAATGTGAATCCCTCCCTCCTCCAGGCACAGGCTGTTCAGGCTATGCATTTCATAGCCCAGTCCACCCCAGACATCAGTGCAGGATTCAAAACACAACTACCAGTCCTCAGACCCCTGTAAGTGACTTGCTCCAGTTGGTTTATTCAGTTTTCAATCATAGGAATATAAACTAAGAGACCAAAGGCACCCAAAGAAATATACAAAAGGACCAAACGCTGGCAGTGGCTTTGTCCATTGAAAAACCACTGAAGGCGAGGCTGGCCTTTCCAGGCCAAACTGGCTGTGGTAAACCATAAGGCTCATGGGCACCCAGACAAAACCAGTGTACCCTGGGTGGACAAACGGGGCACTGACGGAAAGAAGGTGCTCAATCCACCTTGAGAACAATCAGAGCTTTGGCAGAGGGAAAGCCCCAGATGCCAGAAAGGGACAGGGACCCATAAGCTTTTGATAGTTTTATAATCAAAAGGCTGAGGGAGCCCAAGACCAAAAGTGGCTATAGGTAGAGATACCACCTACATAACTCATGGTGAGCCTCAAGTTTCAGGCGGTCATTGATGTGGTGAGCCACTAGATAAAATCTCTCATAAGCACCAGGGTAACCCTCTCAGTCTTAAGCTAAAGACTGAAAGCCTTAACAATCATAAGAAATACGTAGTGGGAGTGTCAGTAAAGAGACACGGGTACAGTCTCCTGCAACCCCTTTTGTGCAACGTCAGTGGCCAGTCATTTCTACATTCCTTTCTGTTTGTGCCGGATTGTCCTCTCCCTTTAATAGATGGGACTTATTAACTAAATTAGGGGCCACTACTCTGTTTCTCGAAGGACAAGAAAGCCACCCTTATCACTAAATGATGTGAACAAAAATTTTTTTTTAAATAACAAGACTAAATCTATAACTAAAAGACTTTGAAGTATAAAACCTGAAGTATAAAACATTAAGGTTCTGGGCCTAGCCAAAAGCAAACAAGTGAAGCTTCAAGTAACCCTCTCCAGATATGGAAACTGGAAAATATGGTTTGGGTCTCCAAAACTGTGGCTACAATCTCTTTTAATAACTCTTCTAATGTCTATTGCTTTTATTCTTTTCATTTGTATCTTCTATAAACTCATTCTCTGATGTTTAACACCCACAAGGGCTAACAGAATAGTACTCAGTCAGTAAAGACTCTGCCTGCAATGCAGGAGACCCTGGTTCAATCACTAGCTCAGTAAGATCCTCTGGAGAAGGAAATGGCAACCCGCTCCAGTATTCTGGAGAATTCCATGGACAGAGGAGCCCGGTGGGCTACAGTCCATGGGTTCACCAAGAGTCGGAAATGACTGAGTGACTAACACACACACAGCCAGAGTTAGCATTACAGTTCTTCCAAAAGAGAAGGCAGACTCAGTCAGGTCTTACACTTCTTCCCCAGGGAGGTCTACATCCCATCTCAGCAGAAAGCAGTTAAGTTTGTTGCCCCTTAACCCCCTTTAAGAATAAGGGATAAACACCTGGCGGCAGGGAATGACAGAGACAGTAAAAAGACCAAAAGTAGGTGATTAAACAGTTAAATAAAAAACTATGGGAGACTGCTTTAAGTTAATCATCATTCAAGAAAGCACCTTTAAAAAAAGAAAGCAAGCAGGTTTGCTTAATCATAAAATCATGAAACAGAAGGAGGAGGCATGCCCCCAAACAACCATTGTTTTAACGGTAGAAGGAAATCTACATCCAGCCCAATGATTCCTAGGACATGCTCCCTGAGTGCACTAAAAGAAAAAATTTAAGGAAAGAGTGACATTACACTAAAACCTGAAATGACTTATCATATTTCAGTATATGGTTACTGCCTTTTTGCTCATTCCTATTGCGCCATGACAGCCCTGATTTGACCTTGTAGGGGCCAGAAAACTCCCCTATCCCATGTGCAGAAGGAACTGATGATGGAAGCATGACATCTCCTCAAGAATGAGGAAGAAGGTGGTCTTCTTGCTCTCCCCACTCTTCCTTTGATTATAAAACTATACCCACCAAGTTCTTGGGGCAGCACCTTCTCACCCACCCACTTGCAGGCCTCTCAAGTGCCCTATTCTAAAAAGTCAATTTTTATTTATTGACTATTTATTATTCAGCAGGAGTCACTTTCAACTCCTGCTGAATTCTCTGTACTCTGAGACATAAAGAACCAGCGCTCCTCAGAGCCTCACCCCCGCCTTCGCACCCCCACCCCCGCGCCCCGCATTTCTGCGGTTTCATCAGTAGACTGGCTTTATTGCTCCCAGGCAAGTGAATCCAAGTGCGGTTCGGTAACATCCTCATCCAAGCCCCATTAAAATGGTGGCCAGGTTTCAGCCATGCCTAAAAGGCACCCCATCTCTGCTGAGTAAACACAAACGTGTTTACTGTACCAGGACATATGCTGCACCTCCTGGTCGACCTGATAAGCGACTCTCAGGACTGCCTCGGGCCCCAGGACGCTCATCTGCCTTCTAGGGCCGGGCAGTCAAGGCCCCAAATTTTGCAGTTTCCCCATCACCCTATCTCTCAGTACTCCAGGATAAGCCAGGTCTCCCACCAATTTCCTAGTCCAGTCTGGGTAAGGATCAGGGTCTGGAGAGCGGACAGGCTTGCAGCTCCGTCTGGCCAGTTTGTCCAGAACAGCGGACAGCTTGGGTAGAGAGGCAATGGGAAACCAACCAAGGCCGGCAGGTGCGGACCAGGTGCGAGCCGGAGCGAGGGCTCGGGCACGCGGGCAGCACGCTCAAGTTAGGCGCACACGTGGCCGCTGACTTCTGGGGCACGTGCCCGTCACGGGGGGGGGACTTTGCAGGTGGCTGCACCAGACTGAGCAAGGCAGGAGCCCGTACCCGAAAACTCTAAGGGACACTGACGGGAACCCACTCAGGACCCTAGTTTGACGTTCCTCAGTTGTCCCGTGCCCCGCCACCCACCCCACCCCAACTTACCTCCTCCGCGGCGCTGGCCGCCTCTGCGGGGCGCGCTGCCTTTTCGGGCTCGGGGCATGCCGCAAATCGGGCACGACGGGGCGCGGGGTCAGGGACCCGGCGGCGGGGGATTCCAGGCCAGCGAGTCGCCGGCCGGTGCGCTGAGTTGAGACCTAGGCAGACGACGGGAGCCACACGCTGCGCGCGCCACCATCTTCGCGAGGCGCCCCGCCCTGCCAGATGGGTCGAAGCGCCCCGCCCCGCTAAATGGGTGACCGGGAAGGCGAGTCCCTGGCCATTCGGCTCAGACCGCATCCATGCGGCCGAAACTTCTATTCCCAAGGTGCTGCGTGCGCAGATTACCGGCGCCGGGCTGGGCGCAGAGCACCTCGGGAATTGTAGTCTACTCCGGGGGGCCCATAAGCCCACAGCGCCCCAGCTGAACTATGCACCCACAATGCCCTGCGCCCTCCCCCCAGCACGTGTAGTCATTAACTCTGAAGCTGCCCTCACGCTGCTGTCCACCACGCAGGCCCCGCATCTCTCTGCATTTTGCAGCAGGACGCTCACCACGGGAAGGGTGGTGGGTTTGGAAGAACTCGGGACCAGCCAAACCTCATGCAGTGAGAGAAAAAGTAACTTTATGATGAAAGCAGAGTAGAGACAGCAACTTACCGCTTAACAGATGTTAGCCAGAATCTCCTTCGGGGCCCCACCCCCTGCCCCTGGACGGGTCTCCTGTGACCTCTGCGCAGACTCAGTGAGGTGTAGAACAGAGCCCTGGGCTGGCAACCTTAACCTTTTGGCATACTGACTTTTCCTGGGGCTGCTTTCATGTCAGGAGGGATCAGAGGGCCTCTGGTTTTAAAATGGTGTTTCTCTTCTGGCCTCTTCCACTCCCCAGGGGTGCTATGGGAAGTGGAGTATGTGTGTGGGAGAAGTGACAATAAGCTACACGGAACAAGACGGGGACAAAGTCCTCCCTCCAGGACTGGAAAAATGGTAGCAGGAACAAGTTGGTCAGGGGCAGGTGACTGCTGGCTTTATGTTGCTTCTTCAGGCCCAAGATCAGGCCTGGGCTCCTGGCAGGTAGGGCCAGCCCAGCCCTGGTAACAGCGGCAGTTGAAGGACTCCCAAGCTCCAGGGCTGCCATCTGGCTGCAGATGCAGGAAGACTTCTAGTTGTCCTGGGTTTTGCCAAGCACAACGGCCATGGCCATGGCACCGCTGGTGACTGCAGGCCACGGCTGCCCTGGTCACGTTGATCACATAGGGACCCAGGGTGCCCAGTAGGTAGTCATGGAGATGCCAGCACTTCTCCTGAGGAGAAGGGAGGGACGTATCAATGCTTCTGTCTCATGGCCCTGCCATGGTCTTATCCCCATCTCTGGGACCCCAGCATGGGCTGTGTGGCAGGCTGGAGGGGGGCAGTGATCACCTCAGAACTGGAGAAGCTCAGGTCCCCCCAGAGCACCACGCCGGCTGCCCCCAGTGCCGCGCTCACACCAATGGTCTGCATAAGTTCATCCTGGGGGCAGAGAGCTGCTAAGCCAGGGCAGGAATGCCCAGCTCCTTCTGTCCTTAACTCGACCTTCAAGAACTTTCATGGCTCACTGCATGATCTGATTCCACCTCTAGAGGAGGACCCCTTGGCCCTGAGCCTCTTTGAGTGGCTTCTCAGGCCCTCCACTCAGAGAATGTCATGCCTCCCCATCAGACCCCTAGATTTCAGCTTTCACTCACCTGGGACAGGAACCTCCCAGAGCTCCGGTGTGTGAGGCGGGCATAGGCCAGGACAGGCAGGGGATGTGGGTGCCCAGCGACAGCGACACGGAAGGCCTCCTCCAGGCGGTAGCGGACAAATGCCTGGTGGTAAGCAGGTGGTAGCCTGGGTGGGAGGTATATGCTGGGGAAGAGGGCGCTGGAGGCGGCCCAGAGCCAACGCAGCTGGGTGTTGCGCGCCAGGGCAGCAGCATGGCAGTGGCCCGTGTAATTGGAAGCCGCACCACGCCAGCCATTGCCACAGGCTGGGAAGCGGTAGAAGCCCCAGAGCCCATGGGGCTTCAGCGCCCGGCCGAGCCGCAGCGTGTCCTCCATCAGTGCTCGGGCTGCCTGTTCGAAGCCAACGCGGGCCTTATGGAGCTGCTCCTGGGGATCCAGGTTGGGGAATACCCATTGGGCCCAAGCCCAGGAGGCAGCCCGATAGATGCGGTGGCGGCCCCAGTTCCCGGCCCAGAGTGGACACCATTCTTCCCAGTCCAGGACTGCCAGGCCAGCGAAGCCCGGCCACAGGCTGCGGCGGATCTGATAGGCAGCCCGTGCCAGGTGGCGGTCCAGAGGCACAGCCTGTGGGATGCCCCCATTGTGAGCTGTGCCCCTCGGCCCAAGGTAGGGGTAGAAGCCGAGCCGGTTCTTGTAGAAGATGGTGACATTCTGGCCGTGGAAATGCTGGCCACGGTTGGCTGAGATGCCCAGGGCCTCAAGTGGCAGGGGCACGCCAAAGCGGTTCTTACAGCGTGCTGAAGGCACGTTCCACAGCACCGAGAAGGGGCGTGCAGGGGCCTGCAGCAAGGATCGGCCACACCCCAAGCACAGGGCCACTCCTAGCACCAGGGCCAGGCCTAGCTGCATGGTCATGCCCCAGGGATGGAAACCTGCAGGAGAGAGGGGGTGTGAGCTTAAGAGTCCATGGCCATGGCCACACCTTCCCCACAGCAGATCAAGCTGGGAAGACTCCTCCAGCTCCTCCTCACAAGGAAGGGAGGTGAGCAAAGCATGGTTCCTAAGGGGTCTCGTAGACCTCTCAGAGCAACCCCAGCCCAAGCTGGCCTGGCCATTTCCCTTCTGGTGTTGTCCATCTCTACCGTGGCACCACTGTGCCCTCTGACACCTCTCCCACCCTCAGCTCTCACAAGTCCCCTTTTGTCCTCTGCCCATTATGTTTCGTGCCCCAAGAACACTCAACCTCCACTCTGCCTGACTTAATTCCTACTCAGCACTCAGGTCTCTGCTATGATATCATCTTCTGGCGCAAGTGGAGTGAGGACATTTGAGCTCCCACTGTCCCAGCGTAGGCCCTGTCACTATACGCCTGCCCTGTCCCTTGAGTTGAGACCGTATCTGTCTCGTTCCTCCCTGCCTGTGCCCAATCCAGGGCCTGTCACACACGAGGTGCTTGGGGAATGGTGATGAGTGAAGGTGTAAAGAAAGAAACACCTTGACGCCTGAGACAGGCAGAATGAGAGGAGCAAAGGGCTTTCCCTCCATCCATGGCCCTGAGGCCAAGGTGCATCTGGGGGCTCCTGCAGGGATAGCGGACCTAAGAAACGACTGGGAGATGAGGGTGGGGGTCAACAAATACACTGTCACAGACACACCCAACAGAAGCCTTTATTCAGCCATACTGAGAGCTCTGAGCCACAGCCATGGTCCCATCTCCACTGGCACTCAGGAAACAGGCCTCAGTTGAAGCCGCCCTCAGGGGCTAGAAGCTGAGGGACGGCCAGTGGGCTGAAGCTGCTACTGTCCTGGGCAGTCACTGACCCAGGAAGACAGCGTCTTGCCCTGGGAATAGCCTCAGATGTCTTTCTCCATCCAGAATATGGGGCGTCCTCTCAGGTCTTGGTATTGTGTCTCCAGGGAGCTTTGTGGAGGGGGCCCTGCTGGAGGTGGGGGTAAGGTGGTCGGGGGTTCAGGCAGGGGAGGGGGTGGCAGCAATGATGAGCCCTTGGGGACTTTTGGGGCAGCTTGGGCAGTCAGGCTAGGGGCCTTGCAGGGTGACCAGGGAAAGGGGGTCCTGGGGAAGGCATTGAGCAGGGTGGCAGGCAGTCGCCGGCTGGTGAAGACCAGGCCCTGCACTGGCTCACCCAGCCGGTAGCCCAGATGGGCATAAAAGTGCAGCTGATCATGGGTGGTGAGGTGTAGCCGGCGGAAGCCCCGGGCCCGAGCAAAGGCTTCAAGGCCCTCCATGAGACGGCGGCCAAAGCCACGGCCCCTCAGTGCCCGGGCCACCACCACGGTCTCCACTAGCAGGCTCTGGGGCCGATCCAGCACCCGGGACAGGCGGGCATGGCCCACCACAATGGGGGCTGCCTCTGAAGTGGGTCGGGGGCTTAGCAGCATCAAGCAGAGAGGAAAGGCGTCTGAGGACTGGCCCAAGGAGTGGAGGCGGGAGGCGCGGCTGCGGGGCCACTGCTCGTTGATGAGGTCAGCACAGGCATCCAGGAGCTCGGGTCGGCAGTGCACAGGCTCCAGGGTCAGCTCAACCAGGTTGGGGACTGGGGTCTCCTCTGGCTGGTGTGCAGGATCCAGGATCAGCTGAGCTGAGCCAGAACTGAGGGTCATCTCTGGATGGCATGCGGAAACCAGGGTCAGCTCAGCTAGCCTGGGGCTCAGGGTCAGCTCTGGCTGGTGTGCAGGATCCAGGGTCAGCTTGGCCAGGTTGGATCTCAGGGTCACCTCTGGCTGGCATGCAGGATCCAGAGTCAGTTGGGCTGGGCGGGTACTCAGGATCGGCCCCACCTGGTCCACAGGGTCTAGGCTATGGATCAGCATGCCTCGGTCAGGGCTCAGAGTCAGTTCTCGCCTACATGTAGGATCCAGGCCCAGCTGAGTCAGGCTGGGAGCCAGGGTCATCTCCTGCTGGGGTACAGATGGCTCAGGGCCAGGCAGGGGATTAAGGCCACAGTCTCCAGGCAGTGGGGTCTCCTCAGACCACAAGGTTGCTGCTCCTGTGGATAACAGCCATGCTGGGCTGTGCCAGAAGGAAGATGGGGTTGGGGCAGGGAGTGGCTGACAGAGTGCTAGGGAGGGCCATGCATCCTGGATCTCATCTGATGGCCCAGGTGACCTGGAGGATCCCATCCCTTATACTTGGGGGCGCTGACTCAAATGAAGAGCAGAGGGGGTGGGTCCAGGGTGCTCTGCCTTATACTGGATGGGGGCTGAGGGCTAGAGGCTAGGGCCGGCCCCAAGAACTCAAGAGGCCTGGGCCCCAGTCTGCTCTGGCTACCACTTTGTCCTCCCTAGGACAGTAGATTCTACCCTACACCATTGCAGGTGGCTGGCCATCAGACAGAACATGCAAACCAGACGCCACAACCCCTTGCTTTAACCCCAGCTACCCCAGGAACTCTCCTCTCCCTACTCCCTACTCCAGGTCCTAGCCTTTTTGAACATCTGGGCCACGCTGGCCACTTAAGATCCTCGGTTGCCATTCACCCACCCATCAGGCTCAAATTTCCCCTCCCTGGACTGCCTTCCCTGCCTAGGGGACAGAATCCATGGCTCCCTCCCCCAAACGGCCCAGCTTGGGACACTTTGATTGCGTGAGAACCCAACTGCCCCTCAGAAGGGGCCTGGCTCATACAGCAACGTGGTCCTGCTGGCCTGCTTCCTCACTGGTCTGTCTCGTAGCCACTCTAGATAAGAACCACAGCTTCCTTCCTACACCCACAGGGGTGTCTAACGGCTAGCAGGTTGGGGGCTCAGACCTCCTGCCCCCAAACTCCATTGCTTGTCCATCCCACCTCAGGCTCTGCTGGTAGGAGGGTCTATGCTGGGGGATTTCTAGCGACAGGTAGCCTCTGGGCCCCATCTTTCTACTCACCTGCTTCAGAGGGGATGCGCTGGTTCCCTCCCTATCCCCACCTCCCCAGGAAGACCCCGTGAGCTTGAGGCCAATTTCACACTGGTAACAGGCAGCCCCCTTCCCTCATACCCCTTCCCTCACAGAGGGTTATAAGCCTCTCACCTGCATCAGCCACCTCCGCAGCAGCTGCACCCCTGGACCAGGAGGGAGGAAGCCCCAGGATCCGCCCCCTGGGCCTGGAACCCCAGACTTCCCTTAACCCCTTCTATGCCGACCCCACCCACTGTGAGGCGGGGCTCCCGGGTCCACCGAGAGAGGCGGCAGTCTCTCCTGCCTCGATTTCCCCCTTCCTCCCAGTGTGTGACAAACCGTGGAGTCTGGGGGTGGGGGCTTCGGAAGCTAGACCCTGGGCGGGTGTGGCTCAGCAAGCTTTGGGAGGGAACGAAAGACGCAGGTAGGGCGTGCGGGGCGGCTTAGTCACTTGAGAACTGTCCGCGCGGGGCGGAAAAGGAGAGCGGGGGGGACAGTGAAGACGAACGCCGCGCGTGGGGACGGGGTAGTACTGACATGTTGTTGCCGGGCTCCGGGATGCTCCGCGTCCTCGCTTCTCCTGGATCGGTATCTCGCTGTCTCTGGCTCGGACCCCTCAGGCTCCCAGCGCTCGCCCCCTAGCGGTACGGCGGACGAACTGCAGCTGTCCCGGGCCGCGGCACACCGCCTAGTTCGTGGTCTTCCGGGCGGCCAGGCCCCGCCCCCGACCCGGCGGGTCGTAACACCGACCAGACGCAGGCTGGTCTCTACCCGGTCTCTAGCTCTGTCCTTCCCACCCTGGTTTATCGTAGCCTCGCTCCCAGTGACCCTGGCTCCATCTCGGGTTGGCTGGGCTTCCGTCCTCGCCCTGCCTCAACCTCAGATAGGTCTCGCCCAAAGTTTAGCTTTGTCTGGGCTCACGCTATCCCTCCTGCGCGGCGTGAAAACGATCAGGCGGAGCTTCTACTTCAGATTTGGCCCCCACACTGGGGAAGCAGCCGCCCTCGGACACACATCAGATCTGAGTGAGAGAAAAGAACTTTTCCAGCACCCTCTGGGTACCAGCGCCTGGCCGTTTTAGGCCCTCAACAGTTTTTGAAGTTAGAATCCTGTTTTATTTGCGAGGCTGCTACCTCTGAACGGACTCAGAGTTCAGTGCAGATCTGGTTACCATCGACTTATCAGTTGGAGCCAAAAGGTTGTACCTCTGGTTAGGCAGCCCGGGCTTGAATCTCAGCTGCTCTGTTTTCTGGCTGTGCAACCTTGGGGAGAGTGCTTACCCTCCGTGGGCGTGCCTCAGTTTCCTCACAGCATCGTGTTAGGATTGCACAGTTAAGTTAGCCTACTTAAAATGCTTAGCACAGGACTTGGAAAGAGTAACGCCCAGTGAATGTCAGTTTATTTATTTGTTTAACCGCACCACGAAACGTGCGTGATCTTAGTCTCCGCCCATGGATCGAACCGTGCCCCCTGCAGTGGAAGCTCCACATCTTAACCTCTGGATGGCCAGGAAGTCCTGAATGTCAGTGCTTGGGGCTGCTTGTGTTTGAAGACTGACTCAGTGTCTCCGGAGGAAGTATTTTTGACTCTGTCGGGTGGATGCCCAGGGCTCTAACTCCTTATGCAGCTATCTTGATCTGTAAGCAGGTGTGCACGCACTGGTGTATGCTCATGACACTGGCTGAATGGACTTCTGACTGTAGCCATGACTCCTGTGAGTGCCTGACTTGGGAAAGCCCTAGCCAGGCCCAGACTGCATCAGGTACCCAGTGTGTGCCCATGCCAGTCACCGCATGCCCCACTGCTCACACCGTGTCCCCCACCACCCTTGATAGCAGCGACATTCGAACTCCACCGCCATCCGCAACCGATCCTCGAGTGAGAGGGCACCTCGTAGGGTCACGGGCCCACCACCAGGCGTGGGCTTGATGGAAAAACCGGTGGAGTTGAGGATGAGGCGGGCCTTGGGGTAACTGGGGCGCCGGGCACAACGGCCATGGCCGGAGCATAGGACCTGACTGCACAGACGAGCCCCGCTGGTCACATTCAGGATGGAGGGTCCCAGCGTCGTGTCCACATACTTCTTGATGGCCTGGCATGATTCCTAGGTGGGAAGGGGAGCATCAGGGACACCATGGCCATGCATGGGTCCACCTAGGACACTGAAGCACTCGCCTCCTGGCCAGCCAAGGCTGCAGGAGTAAAAGGTGGGCTGGGGTCTCACCTGTCAGCCTGGCAGCCCCACCCCTGCCCCCACTCTCACCCCCATCCTGGGCCTGAGCTCACCTTGGTTCTTGTGTTCGCCCAGCTCACCCAGAGCACCACTCCTGCTGCCCCCTGGGCTGCACTGTCCCCCAGGGTGTGTTCCAGCTCCTCCTGGGGAAAGGACAGAATAGCTCTGAGGGGGCCTCCCTGGCTTCCCACAGCAGGCTGCTGTATCACTGTTGGATGGGATAAATAATTCATCTCCCCCACTGGGGGCTGCTCTAACCTTGGGGGCCAGAGGCAAGCCTGCCCTCCTTCTAGCCTGTGAGTGCCATGCAGGCAGGGACAATTTCTTTCTGAAGAATGTTGAATCGTCTGTGGCTAGCACAGAACTTGGCACACAGGAGGTGCTCAAAGAATATGAAAGGGAATGGATGAAGGTGCCCCGAGGCTAAAGTGCCCCAGGGCTGTGTGGCCTCAGGTGCTGGACTAAGGCCTGGCAAGGTAGGTCACGGGTGGGCGGGGTTGCAGGAGACTCACCGGGGGCAGAAAGTGTTCAGTCATGTCGTAGAAGATCTGCATGTAGGGCAGCACCAGCAGCTTGGGGTCCCCAGCAGCCGCCGCCACCCGGAACGCCTCAGCCACACGGTGCTGCACGTACATCTGTGCCTTCTTCGTGCCCTCCAGTGCTGCGGGCAGGTAGATGCTGGGGTAGAGGGCACGGCTCTGGCTCCACAGCCACCCGAGCTGGTCATTCTGGGCACGGATGTTTTGTGGACACTGGCCGGTATAGTTGGGACTTTTAAAGTCATAGTTGTAGCACTCAGGGAAGTTATAGAAGCCCCAGAGGCCCTGAGGCCGCAGTGCTTGTCCCAGCTTGAGGGTGCCTGCCATCCACTCCTCTGCAGCACCCTCGAACTGGTCCTGAGCAGCAGCCTCCACCCGAGGAGCTGGCCAGTCTGGGTGCTGCTTCTGTACCAGTGCCCGTGAGCGCTGCCGGTAAATATCCTTGGTGTCCCAGTTGAAGGCCCAGCGCGGGCGCCATGCCTCCCAGTCAATGACTGCCAGCCCTGAGAAGTGAGACTCAGGTATGGCAGCCAGGATGTCCTGGAATGTGTGGGCCAGATGGGCATTCAGGCTGGCATTCTGGGGCAGGCCACCAAACACAGGCTCCCCAGCAGATGTATAGTAAGGGTAGGTACCCAGCTGGGAGCTGTAGAAAATGGTCATGTTAGGGCCACGGAAGGTCTGCCCCGGGTTGGTCACCACATCAAAGATACTGATGTCCACGTCCACGCCGTGTTTCTTCATACACCACTCGGTGTTAGCGTTCCAGATGGTGGTGAAGGGCTGGTTGGGTACCACAGGGTCCTGGGAGCCTTGGGTCATGCTGAGCAAGTTCAGGAAGAAGGTGCAGACAGGAAGCAAGTGGGCTGCCATGGCCCAGGGCAGGTGTAGGGAAACCTGGCCAGGGAAGGCAAAGTGGAGAGCAGGCCTTGAACTCTCTGACCCCTACTAAGGGAAGGCAGGACAAGTCCCTTTAATCCACTTCTGCTCTGGCTTCAGGAAAGCATGGACCTGCAGGGCCCAGGGGTGGTCAGAGGGCAAAGGAGAGGCAATGAGGCGAACATAGCCACTAGAGGGCACGCTCGACTTGCCTCTTGGGCCAGCCTCTGTCTCCCTTCCAAGTCTGGTCTGGTTAAGCTCGCCCACCCCCACTTCCCCAAGAGCCACAGAAGCCATGACATCTGTCTTGAGAAGCGTGGCTGAGAGCCAGGTCCTCAGCCCCCAAGCTGACAGATGGATGGAGGCAGGGGCTTCCCTGTCTCTTCTGCCAGGAATCCTGGCCAGCCGTTGGAGAAGGGGGCGCTCAGTGATGCAGGAAAGGTCAACCCAGCCCTTCTGTACACCCTCCAGTCTGCCCACTTGTCCCTGCTGACCTCAGGGCTGAAAGGCCTCATTCTCCAAACTTCCTGACCCCTGGGTTTGGGCCTGTGCAGGCATCAGCAAGATTCTGTTCCTTAACTCTGGTCCCAGGCGCACCGACACTCTTGGAGGAAGAAAACTGCTGCTGCAAACGCTGAGCTTTTGTAGGGGGTCACCCCACCCAGTCTGGGGGCGGGCTGAGGGGCGGGCCGTGGGTGAGAGGGCTGGGCCAGACAGCTGAGCCACCCCTGCGCTCCTAGCAAAAAAAAAAAAAAGCCCTTGGTAGGAGGTGGGACTGGGCCGGAAGTGGCCCCGCCCACTCGGTCAGCACTGGGGCTGGACTGTCTGCATCAGGACTCCGGTGGGTTTATTTGGGATGGGGTGGGAGTGGAGGCAGTGCGTGGGGGCTGTCTGCGTGGCAGAGCCCACAAGGCAGGCTTGTGTGTAATACTGAAGTCTGGGGGCTTTCCCCACAGAGCTGAATTATGACATCTGTGGGCACTAGGCACTTTCGCTTTTGTTGACTCCTTTCTTAAAAAAAACATTTTAAGGGAATCCCCTGGTGGTCCAATGGCTAAGACTCTGCCCTTCCAATGCAGGGGGCAGGGGTTCGGATTAGGGAACTAAGCTCTCACAACCTTGTAGTCAAAGATATATATACATTACGACTACATTGGTGTAAGGACAGATATAATCTAGACTGAATTCATTATTTTATATTAATGTTTTCTTCTGATTAAAAAAGATTAAAACATTTTTTGCGGGCTTGTATAAATACTGTGGCCTGTGCCTACCGTGCCGAGTGGATAAGTCGCCCCTGCTTTAGGGACCTGTGTTTGAAGTCAGGGCTGCGCGGTCACCCTTTGTGTACGTGCTGGCTCAGCGACTGTACCTTTATGAGGCTCGTTAGTGACCATCTGGGCCTCTCCACAAACTCCAGGAGAGTGGGCATATGCAAGAGTGGGACCCGGTGCCCAGGACCTGGTGTATTTGGGACCCTGTTGTCTTATGACCATGAGACCCCATGCCTGTGTGACCATGGGCAGGAGCACAAGGGAATCAGTGATGACACGCTTGTTCTTTCCATTGTGATTCCCCTTGTTTGCTGATTCAGACCCTAGTAACTGAGACCTTCGAGGTGCTCGGGCCCAGGCTTGCCCGGCCGAGGGTTGGGTGAAGGAAGCATCACATCCCTGGTCCAGGGGAATGCGCTGCCTGGGTCTATAGCCCAGTCTGAACTTGAGCTCATGGCCCCCCGGCACGGGACACAGTTGGCTACCATCTGGACTGGTCCTCTAGGCTGGCTAGGATGAAGGGGGAAGGGCTGAAGGGGAGGAGGGCCCTGGGTATTGGGGGCTGTGAGTGCACCAGTCAGACCCAAGCATGGGATCTACCCACGGCAGTGGTAGCTGAGGACTCTGTTCAGAATGCAGGGTCCCCCAGGCATGAGCATTAGTGTTAGAGATCTTGGCACAACTCCCAAGGGCTGAGGGGACAGGAGACCATCAAAGTAGCCCCTGACCCCCTCTCCCCAAGGTTCCACCCTACCTCCTGAAAGTGAGGTTAACTCCTACGTTACCCCCCAAAACCTATGGCTGCAATCGGCACAATCCGGCCCACCAGTGTTCTCTGGATTCAGAGGGATGGCTTCCCCAGGCTCTAACCACACCATCCTCTCACATGCATGCTTCCCTGTGGAATACTCTCCGCTGCCCAGCGTCTGACTTGGTCTTAGCATCCAATGTGCCTCTCCTTTACACCATCATAGCCCTGAATGTATGGGCTTCCCAGGGGGCTCAGTGGTAAAGAACCCACCTTCCACTGCAGGAGACAGGTCGGAAAGATCCCCTGGAGAAGTAAACGGCAACCCACTCCCACATTCTTGCCTGGGAAATCCTATGGACAGAGGGGCTGGCAGGCTGCAGTCCCTGGCGTCACAAAAGGGCTGGATACGACTCTGTGACTAAACCACTGCCCCTGGGGATGGCTGTCTTTGGGGTGGTTCCCGGGCGCACCCGCCCAGCCCTGGCACGCGTGTGGCTCAGGGCCTTCACTGAACAGGTGAGACAGTCACCGCCCTCAGACAAATCAGGCCTGCTGCCACTCTAGAGCTGCCTGTGGCAGACCCCCAGTCACACCCCTGCCTCAAATGCTGCATCCCCCTTTGTGTTCGGTCTTTCGCCAGACTGTGCCCGTGCTGTTCCCAGAATCACGTTCCCCCCTCTTTCAAAATTCAGTGTAGAAAGCCCTTCCTCGAGGCTGCTTCCCGAGTCCTGGTGGTGGTGTCAGGACTTCCTGAGGAGGGGTGCCCTTCTTGCAACGGGGCAGTTTCCTGAGTCTGTCTCCCCAGAGTCGGTGTCAGCTGAGGGCAGGGGCTCAGTCCTGATATGGACGGGAGGAATCCAGGTATGGGTCCACGGCTGGAGGGAGGGGCAGCGCCCCACCCAGGGTAACTCACAACAGAAGCAGAGGAAGTGAAGCAGGTCTGACTGCTCCGGCTACTCCTCCTCTCCCCTGGGACAGCTGGGGACAAGCTATGCTCTCTTGTGGCCAGGACAGGGCGGCCTGTTGAAGAAGGCCCCCCGCTCACCCCATCATACATCTTTGCAGTGGAACAGGGAGTGGGCCTCATGATTCAGATCCCGGTGCCCTGCTGGCCTCCCCCTGACCGTACCCGTTGGAAGACTGACCCAGACGGGGAGAGGTGCGTGTGGCTGAAGTCCACTGCCCTTGAGAACAGGGAGTGGAGGAGACGCCCTTGCCTTTGAGAATAGCAGGGAGGAGCGATCTGGCTACCTGCCCAGCCAGGGAAGATCAAACATCCATTTCCCACTTTCTCCCTGGGTGGGCGAAGCGAGGAGACTGGCACCAGCCCAGCTGGGGCTACGGCACCAAGCAGGAGCAGCACACAGAAGGCTGCACCCAACTGCTTTCCAGTCGGCGTGGAGAAAGCGAGGTGCTTGGTATTGGCGTAGAATGGGAGTCCCTCCGCTCCCAGTGGCCAGGGCCCTTGCAGGACAGCTAAAGCGGGCAGCTCGGGCCTGCAGATCCCAGTGCACGTGTGTTATAGATGAGAAGGCCCCAGCAGAGAGTCTCACAGAGACACTGCTGAGCTCAAACCTTATTTGGAAGAGCCTGAAAGTGCTCTCACATGCCCTGGCCCAGGCACGGACAGTCCAAGCAAAGAAGCAGTTGTTTTATATTTAATTTACAAAAGAGACCCCAAAATAATAATAATAAACTATCCAGGGGCAGGGGAGTAGGGTCAGGTCCTCCCCGGCCCAGCCGTGCCCCTCTTCCTCTCTGGCAGGGAGAGATGGGGCCTTCCAGGGGCTGCCCCTCCCCCTTAGAACAGGGGGTGGGAGCTGGTATGGACATCCTACCGGGCATCCCAGAGGGCTCTGCCCCTCCAGACTCTGGTTTGTCCACCCCTTGCGGGCTCCTACAGGCCTGGCAGACCCCTTGTGGCAGAGGCCAGCTGACCTGGCAGCTGGGTGAGACCCTTACAAAGTCCAGGTGAAGGCCAGGACTGCCACTGCCAGCAGGCCAGTGAGGTGGGACCCAGCCCAGGCCCCACTGGCACCCCCAGCTGCCCGCCTGCGGTCCCACTGGCATTGCTCACCGCCCCAGCCTAAGTAGCACTGGCAGCGAAAGTGCGTCTGCAGGTGGTTGCGGTCGGCCCAACTGAGCTCCCCCTCTGGTCGCAGCCGCGGCTCATCAGGTGCATGGCTAGGCACTAGACGGAAGCTGCTGGCACTGAGGTGCAGGAAGGTGTGGGCATTGGGGTCCCGGCGCACACAGCGCCCATGGCCGTGGCACTGGGCCCAGCTGCAGTACTGGGCAGCCCAGGACACATTGACGACATAGGGTACCAGCGACCGAGTCAGATAATCCTTGAGGCGCCAGCAGGTCTCCTGGGGGCAGAGGACAGGGAGGCGGGTCAGAGGCCTCAGCCAACGTGGAGACTCAGTCCACACTGTGTGACTGCACCTTCTTTTAACAGCACATGCATGCATGCGCGCGCGCGCACACACACACACACACACACACACACACACACACACACACGCACGCACGCCTGAGCCCTCACTGTTCCCGTTCCTTCTAAGAAGAGGGTGCAGGCAGGGACTAGAACCCAGCAGGGCAGGTGGGGAGGGTGGAACTCAACAGCTGGTCAAGACAGCAACTCCCTCTTCCTGGGTGAAGGGCAGGGGTGGGGGTGGGGGTGGATCATGTCTTCTCTGTTGGGACATAAGCTGCCTTGGGAAACAGAGGAGGGGAGCACTTTGAGGTTTGCATTCAAAAGCGCAAACACTCTGCCTCTCCCTGCAGACTCAGCTCTGGTTGGCTGGGTGGGTCTTACTTACGTTGCTGGTGGTGAACCCTGCGTCACCCCAGAGGATAACGCCGGCTGCACCTAGAGCAGCACTCTCACCAATGGTGGATATGAGATCCATCTGTAGGGGAAGCGGATGAGACCACAGGGTGAGAAGGACAGATGGGGTAGGCAGGCCCTAGTCTGTACCCATTTACTGACCCCTGACTCCAGCCCAGCCCTCCCCTTCCCAGGCAGCAGCTGTTTCACTTTCTCCTTAAATGTTTAAGCCATTTCCACCCCCCTACTTTGGCCTCCGATTCTCAAGCCAAGAGCCCACTTGAGCCTGGCATGAATCTATCAGTCGGGTCCGACTCTTTGCAACCCCATGGACTGTAGCCTGCCAGGCCCCTCTGTCCTGGGGGCTGGGATTTCATGGAAATCATGAAAATCATGGAAATCATGGGATTTCCCAGGCCAGAATACTGGAGTGGGTTTCCATTCCGTTCTCCAGGGGATCTTCCTGACCCAGGAATCGAACCCAGATTTCCTGCTTTGCAGGTGGATTTTTTTAACCGTCTGAGCCACCAGGGAAGCCCTACATCTATCAGGATGGACTACAAAGTCAGAATGCTAGGCCCGAGGGCCTCCTCTGCCTGGATTTCCTGGAAGTTCTGGGCAAATTTCTCAGCATCTCTGGGCCTCAATTTTCTTACCCACAAAATGGAGATAACAAGGTCACCCTCTCATAGGGTTACAGAGAGAATGAGGTGAGGGGATGTAGAGTAGTTAGTAAACTTGGGGGCAGGAGGCCCCCTGGTAACCCAAACGTGCAGTGCTTTCCCAAGGAAGAACACAGGGCCCTGAGAGGCACGTACCTCGCTAAGCCCTGTGAGTCCACGGCTATAGGTGGGCCTCGTGAAGACGTAGACTGGGAGTGCATGGTTGGCATGGTGGACGTCAGCCACGCGAAGAGCCTCCTGGACACGGAAGCTGACGAAGTTGCGGCCGTGAGTGGAGGAAGCCAGTGTCTCTTCCAGGTAGACAGAGGGGAACAGGGCGGTACTCTCGGCCCAGAGCCAGGCCAGTTGGTCATTTCGGGAGACCTCAACATCAGGGCAGCGGCCTGTATAGGTCTCCCAGTTCTGCACATAATCATGGTTGTAACAGTCAGGGAAGAGGTAGAAGCCCCATAGGTGCCGAGGCCGAAATGCCTTGACAAATCGCAGTGTCTCCAGCATGAACTGCCGTGCAGCGAACTCAAACTCATACTGCGCCTCCTTGACTACACGCTCTGGTGGCCAATCGGGGTGGCGACTGGCCACCAGCTGGCGTGATAATCGGCGGTACACATCCTTGTCCTGCCAGTTGCGCACCCACACTGGCCGCCAGTCCTCCCAGTCGATGACTGCCAGCCCTGCAGGCTCCTGTGTACGAATGTAGCGTTCCACGTGTCCCTTCAGCATCTCCAGGTGTACCCAGAGGCTGCCATTCTGTGGCACACCACCATGCACTGACCTCCCCACCGAATTGAAGTGTGGATACATGCCCAGCCGGTCACGGTAGAAGATGGTGATGTTCTGATTTACGAAACCCTCGTTAGGTGAGGCCTGCACATCAAAGGCCTTCATGTCCTTTGGGTCCAATGGCATCTTGTGGCGGGGGCCACAGTCCTGTGTGGGCACATCCCATGCGACCACAAAGGGCCGGCCCGTGAAGATGGGTGGTGCTGTGGGCTTCAGCTCCGTGGCCCATGCCACCGCCAACACCAGGGCCAGTGTGACGGCGGGGCCCAGGCCTGTCCACATGCTGGGGGCTGCAGGAAGTCAGTGTCACTTGCCGGGCACCAGCTCAGGAACTGGTGAAAAGGTGGGAGACAGCAAGTAAGTCTAGAGGATCCTGGAGGTCATCCACCCCAAACCCATTCACAGTCCCAAAGCCCATGCTGCAGCAGGCCACCGTGCCCAGGATTGTTCAGACTCTATTATTAGCTATAACAGGTCTGACAGACCACAGGCCACTGAAGGACAAGCAATACATCCAGGTAGCTCACTGCCAGGAGCACAAGGCTCTGTCCTGGACAAGTAGCCTATGGCTGGGCAGGAACTGCTGTTAGGTCTGTGACCCCTCTGAAACTGGACGAACTGAGCTATGGACTCACTGCCCAGAGGCTCACTCATGACTGAGTATCACCCAGGACAAAGTTTCTGAGAGCCCCAAACCGAGGCCCACTCTACCCCGTGAAGAACTCTTGGTCCTGAGAAATCACAGCATTTGGGTGAGGCAAGGCACAGCTCTTGCAATAGCTAGGAAGCTGTAACTCAGCCCCGAGTTGGTATCTTTCTTAGCACTCGCCCAACAGAAAAGTGAGGCTAACAGACTTTATCTCAGCGCAGACACTCTCTCCCAGTTTGGTGGAGGCCCCGCGGGGACAAAGGGGTGGTGGATCTCCTACGGTGGCGCCAGCAGACCGGCCTTTCCCTCAACAGCTACGAGGAATGCGCGTGCCCGCGGGCCAGGCGGCCGGGGGTAAAATCCCACTCCACCTGGCCTTTGTCCGGAACCCCGCCCCCGCCCCGCACGTGGGGGCTGAACCCTGCCGGCAAGGGGGGCGGTCTGGGCCGCCTCCCCGGGGGGTTTAGAACAGAGCTCGCGGAGACAGCAGCTCGGCTCGCACTGCCCTACCTCACCTCGCGCAGGGCGCCGCCGGGACCTGCGCCATGGCCACCTCCATCTCCGTCCCAGCCCGGCCCGCAGCTCTCCTAGGCACGGCCCCGGCTCAGCGCCTCTCCTGGCTCCGCCCCCACCCACCCCAGCCCGCCGGCCCTTTAAGAATCCAGCGCGGAGGCGGGCCCTGCGCAGGATTTACGGCGGGGGAGGGAAGGTGTGCCTGACTTTCGAGGTGCCAGTACCGCGCTTTGGGCTCCGAGGACCGCAGATCCTCTTCCGAGGGATGTAGCCACCGGTCTGGGACTCTGAGGTGCCTCCAAATGGGGCTTTCTTCCGGAGTCTCAGCCATGAGCGCCAAGTCAGCCTAGAGTTCACCCCCTCAACCTGCGGCCAGTGGTACACTCCTCCCTGCTCCGCGACGCGGCCCGCCGCTTAAAGGGACAGCGTAAAGGACGAGGGTCGGGAAGGGAATGAAGGTAGTGTGGCGTTCCCTCACTCTTCCGTAAGGAGGTGCTGTGGGACCCTGAGGCCTTGGCTGGGGGCAGTAGTGAATCTGGCTCTGCACCCCTGAGTGTAATCTCCAGTCCTGGGGCCCCCCTTTGTATGGAAAGGGGGACGGTGACCCGCAGCCTGTCTGCGGTCTCCCGGGACAGTACTGCCCCGCCCCCTTACGGTTCAGGGCTCCCCTCCCCCGACCCTGGTCGGAAGGGAATCCCCGCCCCTTGCCAGACTGGGGCTGGGGGGCCTAGCACCCGCGTCTTAGCCCTTCCAGGGCTGGGTGGAAGCAGTGGTTGTCCTGGTAACACAAGCTCCTGGGTCGCAGTTAGGCCTGCCTGGCTGGGCGCCTATAAGCCCAGCGAGCCCTGAGGGTAGGGCGTCCCCCTGCTCCCGACAAGTATCTGGGACGGGCCAGTCCTTGAGCTTCTATCTCCTCTGTCCAGCCTCTGGGGGCCCTATGGGAACCCCCAAGTGGTTCTTTCAACTCTGAGAAGGCTGCCACCCTTACAGAAGTTCCTGGCCGGACGGCAGAGGAAACCGGCTCAGCCAGAAGGGTTCCCTTGGGCCTCCGCTGGGTATTCTGTCTTTTCGCCCTGCACGCCCCTCCCTCTTGGGGGCAGGCTTGGCGCTACAATGGAAGCGAGAATTCCTTGCCTCTTCCTAAATCCGCTTCCCTGGGGTCCTCAGCTCCCCAAAGGGCCCGGGTCTGCTTGGCCAGCCCATTCCCCGCGCACGCGCCTGGGAGCAGAGAGAGGGAGCGCCAAGTACCAAGGTGCAGACCAGTCGTCTGCCCTGGGCTCACCTGTGTGGGAGTCCGTCGGCCCAGTAGGTCGGCGGCCTCCCTCCTTCCCGGGGTAAGTCTCTAGCCAAGCTACTCTCGCCAGCTCCTGCCCTTTGGGCAGCCCGCCGGCGACTTGATAAACCCCATCCCTCCCACCGGCTCCCGCCTCCCACCCCAGCCCTTTATCCTCACTTCCTGCTGCCCCTCAAAGAGGAAAGGGCCAGGAACAGGCGCGGGGGAAGGGACCGCCTTGACCCTGTTTCCCTCCGGTTTGTCCTGCTGGCTGGTTGCCTGCCCCGCCCCTCCCCCGAGTAGGCCCTGGCCCAGCAAACTACACCAGGTGACAGGAAGGCTGGGGGACCCAGTCAAGGTGCCAGCCTCCCCCATGCTGACAGCTTCCCAAACCTGCCCCTAGGGCTGAGGCCCATCCTCAAATCCAGCAGCTTATGAGTGGAGGGGCCCTGGTGGTGGTGCTTTGGGAAGTCAAACTACTTGGGGGATGTTTGGCAGATGGTTCCCTAAAGCAGGTGGTGAAGAGAACCAGCCCTGGGGTGGGGGGTGTTGGGGGAACTTACAGGAGCTGAGTCATCTTTTTTTCCACTGAGAGCGGAAGCATCTCATGTGTGACAGAGTGGACAAAGTGTGACAGAGTGTTGATGTGGGTGATGGGCGGGAGTGGGGGACAGGGCCTGGGAGGCTTCTGTACGGTGCTCTGGTCAGAGGACATTCCTGGGTGGTTCTCACTAAGATGCTGCTGAATACAGGGCTCCTTACAAAATGGGTGAGGGGAGGGGTGTATTTCTGTGGGAAGAGGGTGTCCATAATGTGGCTGGCTCTAGGGAGGGCTGCAGCAGGGTTCCAGCAGACTCCTTCAGAGGTGCAGACAACTCTGCATACCCTCAAATCACCCTGGGCCTACTCCCCCTGGACTTACCATCCCACCCCTTTGATGCCTGGGGCCTCTCCCCTAATAGAAGGCTGTGTTATCCTGGTGGAGTGGGGGAGGTGGGCATATATCCTACAGTCTACCCCTGATGACCAAGGAGTCCAGGACATGGCATGGGAGGATGGTGTCCCTGGACCACCAAGCTGGCTCTGTAAGGGATACAGGCCTTGGAAGCTCCAAGGGCGGTGGCCCCTGGGGAAACAAAGGCCAGACTATACTGTTCCAGGGCAGGGACATTTCCTTAGGCAGCCAGCAGGAAGGAAGTGCACACAGCCCAGTGGGAGGGAGTGGGGAAGCAGAGCCATGACCCTCATTGTTTCCCGCTTCAAAGTCAGCTAGGGCAGGCCCAGCACAGGGAGTGCCCCACACTGGGACAGTGATGACGGGATGCCAACCGCACAGCAGAACCCTGGCCCTGGGGCAGTCAGTAGGAGGGGCAGTGAAGGGTGATAGGGCCTTATGCCTGGCATCTTATTGCACAGATGGGAAGATACCCAGAGATGAACTTCAAGTCCCGACTGCAGAGGGTGATCCTGCTCCAGACTTGACCAGTTTAAACCTTCAAAAAGACAGGTAGGCCAACTTCTCAGACCCAGCAGCCTGTGTCCCTGAACTCTCTCCTCTCTTATAGGAGTTGGGCTGATGGCCAAAGGCTAGGCCTAGCAGAGAACTGGCCTCACAGCTCGACCTGAGAAGTGTAGACCAAATGTCCATGGGGACAGGCGGCAGGTTAAGAAGGCAAGGGCAGAAGGGATAAGAGGAAGTACTAGGTGACTTGAGTTTTACCTGCTGGAACAGAAGCCCCAAGTCTACACTCCTGGGAGTGCCCACCAGGAGAGGCAAGTGGATCTGGGCTGCAGAGTTTTGCAGGAGGTCAAGGGCAGTGGCACCCACCTAAGGCTGGGCCTAGAAGGTCTATGGGGGCTCAGGCTGTGACCTCATGTGGGGTCAGCTGCCACAGCTGGGGACAGAACAACTGTTCCAGACCTATCTGAGGTCACACTGTCATCTCAGGTCAGGCAGGTGGGGCCAATCCCTACTGAAGTATCCCAGGGCCTTCCAATTCCAGGGTCTCCACTTACTGAACATGAATACACAGTGAGTGGCTCTCCATCCTGAGCGGGCCTGCAGTGAGGTCTATGTGAATATACTGCCACCTGCTGGTTATAGCTGGGATGGCCGCAGGCTGGGCTCAGGCTCTTTCTGGACCTTGCCAGACATGGGTGTGACCAGAATCCTGGACCCAGGTCTACCTACTATGCCCATGTGGTGGTCCAGGCTGGTGTCACAGCTTCAGAGGATGTCAGTCTTGTATGCAGGGTCTACAAATAATTTTATTGAACAAATAACACAACAGCCTTCCTAGATTGAGGACTACCCTCCCCAAGCCATTTCTCACACGCTTAAAGCACAGAGTTTGCACAGTAAGGAATTAAAAAAAAAAAATCATTTCTATGTAGAAATCAGACTCTGCCCCAACAACATCATGGACTAAACTATTTACAAGCTTTCACATTTTAAGTATTCCTATTATGGTTGTTCTCTCCTTTCTGCCCCTATACAGGGGCTCCAGTACTTTTCTTTTGATTGATCCTGAAGGGAGGGGTATACTGTAGGAAAAGGGGTGGTGGGCTCCTCAGAGCTACTGGCACCAGCCCTAGGGTGCTGTGCCTCACCACAGGGTGGCGGATGTGTAAGGGCAAGGGGGATTAGATACAGTAGGTGGGATGGGACACAGGCATCCAGAGCCCTTCCTGATCCCCATCTTATGCCCTCTCAACTTGGGGGTGGGGGGGGGCAACTAGTTGCAGTGGGGAGGGATCGGGCCAGCCCTGGGTAGAGGGAGAAACCTCCCACACCAGTCCCTATTCCTATTAACAGCCAGCAAATTGTCCATCCATCTGGGGCTGGGAACAAATGGGCAGGTGGGCAGGAAAAATCAGGCTTGTTCTGCCCCCAGCCTCTATCCAACACAGGAGGAATCGAGGTAGCAAACGGCTGAAATGCTCCAACAAGAGGGTAAAGGAAGTGAGGGAAAGGAAGTTCCCACTTTTGTAGAGCTCCCATTGCCCTGGGGCTGGAAAAAGGCAGACCTTGCTTGTAAAGTGCTGTAGCCTCTAGCAGGGCTGGGCCCTACGCAAGCTTGGAAGAATGCAGGCCAGGCAGGGGCACAGGAACCAGGTATTCCTGACCAGCATGTGCCCTGCCATGCTCCTTGTAGGGACTGCTGGGAAAGGTGGACTGGTAACTCCGCCATCAGCCCTCACCAGCTTCCAGCCACCTCTGGTCCACATACAAACCAACACCCAACCAGCACTGTAGGACTGCCCTGCTCACAGCTGAAGGTTCCAGGCCAGTGGAGTTTATTCACTGTTGTGGCCCCAGCCTAGGTTCCTCAATGGAAGCCACACCTTGAGCCTGGGGGTGTCTTGCTGGGGCAGGGGGTGTTTATGCCTGCCACCCGCCAGGCTCACACCTCATAGAGGATCACAGGGAAATCCACGTGGATGCGGGGGGGATCCAGCTTCACGGTGCCCTGCCATGGAAACAGAGGCTAGTGAGGGCCGGCTCAGGGCCCCTACTCCAGGAAGCCTTCCTGTTCCTCCCAGCTCCTCCCCCAAGAGCCCCCACCATGACAGCAGACCCCATCTGGGTCTATCTTCACACATTCAACACAGGCTCTGTGACCACTGCCCAGCCCCTCACCTGAGGAATCAGGTTCTTATGCACCCGCCTCAGCTTGGCCCGCTTCTGCCCGTTCTTGGTGACGATTGTCTCCTCATAGAATTCGTGAGCCAGATCCCCATCCTCGTCATAGAACATGGAGCTGTGCAGAGGGAGAGGGGAACAGGCTGGGCTGGAGCCCCACGCTAGTCATGGCAGATGCCATCGACCACAGGGAAGTATGCCCTCCCCCAAATGGGGAAGAACAACCTTGGTGGGAGAAAGGGAGGTTAATATGCCTGGAGAATCCCTCGCTTAGGATCTGGGTCCACTAGAAAGTGGGGAGTGGGATGGTGGCAAGTGCTACTCTGTCAGACCCTAAGAAGAGAGGCCATACCAAAACGTCACTGGTTTGTTCAGCAAGAGTAGCCATTCCATCAGGCCCGTGACTTCACCCAGGACTTCTACAGTGAGAAGGATGGTGGCCTGGGTATGCTGGTCTCACTCCAGAAGACACTGCTGGCCCAAGGCCAAGCCTGAGATAGCAGATGCCTGAGCTAGGAGGGAGCCTGAAGGAAAAAAGGCTGCATCCTCCCCGGTCCAGGTGGCTGATGCAACCAAACTGCCATTGTTGGGGTCCCCCTAGATTCTACATCCCAATTCCAGCAACACCTGAGCAGCAGTCCCCAGGGCCCATCAGATCCAGGCCGATCTAGTGCTCCTATCTGGGCCCCTTGGGGGAGGGGAGAGGTCAGTGCCCCCTGATCTGGGAAAACACACCTGGGGTGAGGGTCTTTTTCCCCAGATCCCAGCCTCAACGCTAGGGCCCAGTCCTACTCTCCCAGCCACTACCCAAACAGGTCCAACCCTACCACTGTGGGGAACGGAAACAGACAAAACAGAGGGTCATTCTCTTCTAGGGAGAACTGGGGGTGAGGGAGAATAGGAGCCTTCAGCTAACAGGCTGGGATGGAAAGGATGAAAGGAAGAGGCTCTGGAGTCTCAGGGAGACCCTATCTTAGCTTTATCGTACGGAGGACCTGCCCAGGGACAAGCCTCAGGCCCACTCTTCTAGGGAGACCTTCAGAGCAGTCAGGCCACCAGGAACCGCCTGCTCGGCTTTCCCCACCCCTTGTCCCTATGGGGACCTGAAATATGGGAATCGTCCTGTCTCGGGTGTACGGGGTACAGCGGCGGGAGCGCCCCATGTCGCGAGACGCCCAGCCGCCCGTCTGACCTCCCGGGGGCGGAACCCCGCGCCCTTACCCGCGGCGCGTGAATACGAAGGGGGGCACGACTCGGCCTCGCGGTCGCACCAAAGCTTGCTCAGCGACCGCCGCCTCTGGGCCACCGCCCCCCGCCGCCGAGGTGAAGGGCCACAGGCCCCGAGCTTTGGAGCCGCTGGCGCCCATGTCAGGGCCGCCGGCGCATGGCGGGCCCCGCGGTAACTTCGCTCTTACAAGGCCGTCGGCGCCACCATGCCCTGCCTGGGCCTTGGCTTGCAGATGCCGCCGCCGCCGCTGCCGCCGCCTTCCGCAGGCTCCGCTGTCTCCACGGAAACCTCACTTCCGCTTCCGAATGCGCCGCATGCTGCCCCCTCTGATTGGCTGCTTCTCTCGTCGGTCCGCGGGGTGGGACCAACAGCCGCCCTCAGATGCTAGGTACCCCAGCATGCACCGCAAGACGTCAGCTCCCAGCAGGCCATGCTCTATCCAGCTCGGGCAGCTCCCACCAGGGAAAGTGGTGGCTCTCCCCCCGGCCTGGTTTCTTTGGCTTGTATGGCGGCTCTGATGTCCCCGACCCCTAGAGGTCAGGCTCAGCGGACCTGCCCAAGCACCGGGTACCTCCCCCAAACCAGCACGTTAGGGTCTGACTCCAGGCCGGACTGGTCAGTGCCCATCTGGCTTCTATCCTCATACCTTTTTTGCCATCCCCAGTTGTGGCATGTGGAGGAGAAACTGAACCTAAATAAAATTAAGGAATTGGCCAATGGTTGTATATCTGCATTCAGGGCCAAAGAACTTCAAATTCAGTGTTCTTTCGAAACCCACCAGAAGCCTTGCTTTATGGTTTGTGGACACTAACCTTTGGTACCATGACCAGTGTCTGGTCCACAACAGTATCTCAGTATTTGGTGAAGCGCCTTCCACAGCATGGAGTGTGTGGTTTCTCTAAGCTCTGGCAGTTGATGTTCTTACCCCCACTACAACCTTAGCCACAGGGTTTGAGTGATGACTAAGTACATATCCACATACCACATCCTTCATAGATTTATCCCATGGTACCACTCAAAAAGTTACTGTGAGCCTGTCCATCAATCCTGGCAGCCACTGGCATGTGGGGCAGTTGCAGATGAGGGCCCATAATAAAGAGTCCAAAAGCAGGAGAATTCTTAATCTTTATTTAGCCAATTTTCTCAGACCCCAGGCCCTGATGACTATTACCCCCACCCCTTTCCCCACCGGAGGCATTCAGCTGAGGCCACAAAATAGTACATACATTCGCACACATCATCAAAAATACCCAAGGGAAAGACCCTGGCTTTGACTGGCAAACAAGGCACAGACACCTGGGCCAGTGCCCACATTCACAGAGAGCCTGGCCCAGGGACATCCTCCTTGGAGGAGGCAGAGGCACTATTGCTGCACCCTTAGCCAGCACTCCCTGACCTGAAGGTGTGTGAGGAGTCAGAGGGTGCTGGAGAGGGAACCCTAGACTCTTCCTTGATGCCTGTCTTATCTTGAACACCCACCCTTGGTTCTGATAGGGCTATCCTGAGACACCCCCCTCCCCCATCCAAGACCCAAATCACACAACCGTTCTGCATAGACAAGGGCCCTCATCCCTGCAAACAACCCTATTCTGTTTGTAGGGTCTCCAAGATTCTCATATCTGAGACACAAATTTAAAGAGACTTCTGTCTCTTCTACCCCTGCTGCAAGCCTGGAGCAGCTTCCCAGGGCAACCCTGGCCCACCATGACCCAGTACATGACAGGCAGAAGGGTGAAGAGCCATGCTCTGCTCCACCCACTGGTGGACACAGGGGGCCAGCTCCTTCGCTGTTCTCTGGGCTCGTTCCCCCAGCGAGAGGGCCTCCATGCACACTCATTCCTCAGGCCACAGGGGGCCTTTGCACACTCACACGGCATGCCCTTGGCGCTGCCTACTCTCCTCCTTCCACCCCGGGGTACAAGAGGTCACCCCAGGGGGCAGGCGTGCAGGGCTTCCTGAATCTTCTGGCGACAATAGGAGTACTTCTGCAGGATCTGGCGGAGATGTTCCTCTTCTTCCCGCTGCAGGATACGCAGAAAGTTGTGTAGCTCAGGCATGCTGAAAGCGTCCCACTGGAGGGGGAGAAGGGAGACATAAGCTACAGCAGGCACTACCAAGTTGGCAGGCTCTCCCCAAAGAAGACGACTGCATCACAATCATGCAGCTAGGATGCTGCCTTCCAGTGTCAGGTTCCTACCTGAACGGTCTGTGTTAAGATTCCCAACAACAATACATAGAGAAGATGGGTCCCACAAAATAGGGCAGTGATCTCACAGACAGGCAACCAAACCAATGTTCCTTAGCTACCTGTGGACAGGTCATGCCTACTTTCTCTGAGTTTAATCTCACTCTGCAGAGGCACTACCTTGGAGCCGGACAGCTTCCCGGTAAAAAGTTCTCATGCCTAAAGAGGGGTACCTCCATGCTGTCTTGTGTCTATCTGTGTGGCTCTGAACTGGCATGAGATCACCATGCCATCAGATGGACTCCTGCATCTCCTAAGGACTTCCCACGACAGAAAAGAGCAGTGCATCGAGATAGTTCTTCCTGGTTTCCTGAGGCAAGCCCTAGACCTTGGCATGAATTTCTTGGAAACCTCCACTTTAGCTGCAAGGCTCACGCACTTCTGCAGAGGCTTTGCAGGGCTTGTCCAAAGCCCTGTTGCTCCTTTAGGTCTTATGGTAGCTGCAACCCTCCAGTCCTGCCCAGTCACACCCAAGAAACTAAGGAGAGCTGTTACTCACGTTCACCTCCCCAGAGTCATTCTCCTTCAACACAAAGCTTAGGGCCTTCTCACTGGGCCCTGCAAGGAGCCGGAGGCGTAGGGGCTGCTCATCATCTGACAGCTTCCGGAGGTACACTGTGAGCCAGGCAGAGGGAAAGGAGGGTTTAATTAGAGCCAGGCACAGCCCCCTCAGCTCCTGCATGCACAGGCGCATGTATATATACCCTCACACATGGTGGGATGGGGTGGGAAGCCCACCTTGGCCCTGGCGCTCAGCCCGCTCAAAGAGTGCAAACTTGCGAGGGTCATCCACCACCAGGAACTTGCGCAACAGGGCCTCGATGACCTCGCGTGCCCGCGTGCGTGACAACACGTGCAGGTGCTTGACAGCATCCTTGGGCAGGTAGAAGGAGGTGCGGCGTTTCACAGCTGTGCCCCGCCCTGGGCCGCGCCGGGCATCCTGCAGGGAGGGTGGCTTCTTGCTGGAGGGAACGGAGACAGGGCGCACCAGCTTCAGTTGAACCTTGATGAAGCCTGTGTAGGAGCCATCCTTGTTCTAAAGAGGAAAAACCAAACTGTGACTAGGTGCCAGGTGAGCCGGAACAGGACTGGACACTACCAGTCCACTTGGGGCTAGGGTGGGTGTGAATAAATCACTGCTCGGGCCTTCCCAAGAATACCTCAGCTGTGACCTTCTGGGCATCAGGCACATGGCTGGGTTCCTATCTCTCTCCAAAACAGGCTGTCAACTCACCAGGCTCATGAACAAGTTGCTGTTGATCTGGCCATTGTACTCCTTGATCTTCTGCTCGATCTCAGCTTGAGAAAGGTCAGGTGTCTCCCACTCCACAGGCTCATCCTGAAAGATGGGCAGACGTGGAGAGATGACCCTCACAGAACCCATTCCTCTGCAATGCATGTCACAAGCAAGAAGATAAACTCTGGGTGGACCACTCTGTAAAATGGCCTGTGGGCAGCCTTTGGAAACTGACAACACAGTTCATGGCCTGATGAGAGGAAACCATCACAGCTCCTGGTTCTGTATTCTATGGAGACAGCCAAGGCAGAATCATTTGGCTTCTCTGCTGCTGGCCTGGAATCTCCTCAGCCCTGGGTAAGGGTCTAAGGACACCATGAAATCAAGGCCAGGATAAGATCAGGGACTCTGAGAAGGAACAGCTTGATCTCAGCACCCTAGCTGGGTGGGGTCAAGGTGTGTCCTAGAGAAGGCAGTTCACTTCGCCTCTCTGCCTTGGCCAGGACTCACTGCAGGGTGAGAGGTACGGGATTGGTGCACACCAGGAGGCCAGCCACCAGGGGGCAGGCGGAGGGGGCAACTGCTACAACCGTAACACTTGGCGGGGGACTTGGGCCAGGCTTACATGTCTAAGTCATAGTGAGAAAGCCACTGTGACATGCCATTTGATCTTGACCCAAGTTGCACAAAAGGCAGCTTCAGGCCAGGCTCTAATCCACCAGAGGTGGACATGGGCAGCCTTCTAATGGAGCCTGTCCCACAAGTGCCAGACAGGGAGGCTTATGCACCTCCTCCCTGCTATCTAGAGGGTTTAGCCCAAAGATTTTAGTTCCACCACTCAGCCCTTCCCCTTGTTCCTCCAGGGACTGGATTCTTATCAGAAGGGTGGCGTGTGGGCCAGGGCTTCAGCCAAACTCCTTGGTCTCGTTGCATCAGCCTTACTTCCTGTTGACGTCAGACAGGCCCTAGTAGGAGTGGGAGTGTCACAGACTCAGCTGAGATCATCACTGACCAATGCGCTGTCCCAGAGAAGTTCCCATCAGAAGGTCTTCTGCAGAATAACCTTAACCTCCTGCTCAGCCAGACTTCTTCCTGCCTACTGCTTTGGAGTCCCCTAAGCTTAAACCATCAGAATCTGCTAGCAATGCAGGAGACTTGGGTTCGATCCCTGGGTGGGGAAGATCCCCTGGAGAAGGGAATGACTACCCACTCCGGCATTCTTGCCTCAGAAATCCCATGGAGAGAGGATCCTGGCAGGCTACAGCCCAAGGGGTTGCAGAGATTTGGACACGACTGAGTGACTAACGCTTTCACTTTCAAGCTTACACCATCTCATGCGAACAATAGGAAGGACAGATGAGGGAGCAGGGTAGAGTTCACAGCCTTTTAGCAATATGCTCTTCACCTAGTACCTACAGCTGTTCAGCTGTCAGCAAGTCGTTGACACTGAGGACTGAGGCTCTGGAGGAGGGGTGGGAACCAAAGCCTATTTGCTTCCTCAAGCTTCCAAAAGTCTCGTAGATGGAAAAGAGCATTGAGAAGTGAAAAACTCTAGCAGAGACCTTGTTGGAAACCTCGCAGGACTGGTAAGAAAAAATGGTCTGGATCCTGGAAAATGAGGGATGTGGGGGGGATAAAATGATGGCTAGAGGGGCTGGGAATAAAGGATGGATGTGTTTGTTCCATCCAAGAAGGATTTTGGACAAGGCGTGCCTCAGGGGAAAGGAGTGTCAGGATGGAAGAGCTGCTAGGGGCAGGAGGAAAGCTGAGCAGAATCTAGTGCCAGGGCAAGAAGGAAGAGAATTCTATTTACAGAACAGGGTGATCAAAGGGATGCTACTCACTTATTCCCCTTCCTTATGATGGATGGCTCTGAGCTCTAGCCTGGGTCCTCCCTCTTCCCTTCCTGGGTTGTCCAAGAGCCCCGAACTGGGATGCAGTGACCTCAGTTCCAGCCCCTTCCCTTCTCCAGGTGAACCTCCCTCAAGGACTTGGGACTGGAGGTACTGCACTGTCCTGCCAGGACTCTAGAGGAGAGAGTTTCATTTTCCATTTTCTAAAGCTGACTGCTGGAGGAGAATTCCACAAGTTGTCCCAGAGGGACATACAACAGGACCTTGGAATTTCCCTTCTGCTGCACTTGAGACACTCACCCTCTACTCTGCCACTATCCAGAGTGACTGATGGTTTGTTTTTTTTTTTAATTTATTTTTAACTGAAGGATAATTGCTTTATAATATCATGTTGGTTTCTGCCAAACATCAACATGAATCAGCCATAGGTATATATATGTCTTACCTACAACTTGGGACTCCACAGCCTGCTTTTCAATTGGTTAGTGTCTTGTGGTTTTTCTCACCTTTCCACGACGGAAAAAGGCTCAGGCCTGAGTGACACAGGGACAGTCCCAGGGATCCACCCTCAAACCTTGCACCCAAACTCTGGACTGAGCTTTCAAGGTATAGAATTTTCATCTAAATAATCACCCGTAACTCCTTTCTCTTGGCTCACGTAAGGAGTTCTGCCCCACTGCTGCCAGGCATACTGAACTTCACTTCATGGTCGCCATCTCTCTGTCCTGCGCTTCTGAGGTGCACCAGCTCTGAGCCTGGGGGTCACACCCATGGCACACAGCACAGAGGTCTCTGATGATGGGATATCTGGGGGGCTCTGAGAGGCTCAGTTGCTCCAGGACACCTTACAGTCCTAGATTGGTAACCCCCATCTCTTGATCCCTCTCAGGGCATTTTACAATCTAGTCTTTCTCACTTTTCCTGGGCCAAGTGCTCCTGAATGCTGACAGTCCAAAACAAGGCTTCCTTCCTGGCCATTCCCAGATGCCCTGGTCTGCTCTGATTTTTCTATATGTGCTTCCCAAGTGAGTACTCCTGGTCCACTGCAGAGGAGGGGAGACTCAGAATCTTCCACATTCCAGCAGCTGGCGACAGGCCGGGACCGGCAAGAGGTGGGGACCAAGCTAGCTCCATCCAGGAGTGGAAATGGAGGGGGCTGGACCTTCCTTTGCCTCTCTCCTAAACACACTTCTCAATTCCCGGCGAGGACTCCTCCCCCTCCACTTCCTCCAGGTCCCCCAGAGAAGGGGTGGGAGCGCCCACACGCGGAAATCGAGGCGGTAGTCTAGACTGCACAGTCAGCCTTAGTAAGGGGTGGATAATGCCTGTCCCTGGTCTACCCCAAGCCACTCAGCTGCTTCTCCTGGTTCAACCGGTCTGTGATAGAAACAGCAAGGGCTCGGCACCCAGTACCGATGTGCTGAAAGCCCGACACAAGGTTCCGAGGGCTGGCCCCCGTCCGATTCGAGATCCACGCTGACAGGAGGGCGGAGCGGCCCACAAACTCTCGAGATTGCAACGTACCGGTGAGGGGCGGGATCCCAGCGATCGGCCCCGCCCGCCTCCCTCAACCCCCTGTCCCCACCTGGTCGCGACGCGGCCTGCGCGCCAGCGAGGTTCGCGCAGTGAAGTACTGCTCGAGCTCGGAGTCCGAGTCCTCCTGGCTGCAGTAGCCACTGCTGGTCGTGCTGTTCCAGGTCATCTCGAAGGAAGGCGTTCCCGCGTCCGCCTCGCCCATCGCCGCGCCCGCCAGCCCGCCAGCTCCGGTGCACCGGCAGGCTCCCACCACCGCCCCAAGCGCGTGTGCGCGTGCGCGCCCGTATATGAGTATGCGTGCGCCGGAACCAGTGTCCGCGCCGCAACCGTTAACACTGAAACGTAGACAGCCAGGATCTAGCTGTCGTCTCATTGGAGGAGGAATATAGAAGGGCGGGGTCACACACACCTCCCCTCCAAGAATGATCTCAGCCCTGGGGCAGCTCAGTTCAGTGCCGCCTCGCAGGCCCCGCCTCCCAAGGGACACTACGGGGCTTGTGCGCGTGTGCACCAGCGTGGCCTCGAGGCCGGATGCAGCTGCGGGAAGGTGCGGAAGTTGCGCTTGCGCGTAATCTGGGCGGCTCCGGGCGGTTAGGGCCGATTCAGCACCCTCCGGCACCCCATGGAGCCCGCGCGCAGAATTAGCCACTCTCTGTCGCCGGGAAGTCGGCTATCAAAACGTTTATTGCGTGTAGCGCCGGGCGGCCCTAGGGAACGCCTGCAGTGTGGCCCACTCGTCCACGTATCCCTGCCTTGCCCGTAAGCTCCCCGGTCCCGCGCTCACCACATTCGTGTCCCGCTCCAGCGCCGGTTCCCAGCCCAGGTCCCGGGGCCCGCAGCAGTCTAGGGAGACGAGCGCGCGGCAGCGGTAGTGGCAGGTGAACTTGCAATCTGCAGAGAGGCCTGGCCGTGAGGTGGAGGAACCCCAGCACCAGCTCGGAGGAGCGTCCCGGGGACAGAAGCGAAGCCCCGGGATGAAGGCCGTTGCTCGTCATCTTATGCGTGACCGGCCTTATCTCAGTCCCCGTTAATACCCACTGCCACTCAGATTTTAGAGTTGGTTCCCCGCCGCCCCCCCCCCCCCCCCGGCGCCTAGAAACTGGCAGGAAGACATGCTGTGAGGGATTCAGGCCTGCTTAACTTCCCCTTCCTCATTATCAGCGTCCCTCCCTCCTCCTATTTACTGGAGGGGGAAACAAAAAACTTTTAACTCAGTGCCCCCTCGTGTCATTTTTCTCTATTCCCCTTACACTCAAAACTTACCAACCTGGTCTCTTAATTCCTCGCCTTCATCGTCTACCCATTCCAGTCAGTCTTGCTCCCCTCCCTCCAGGAAACTCAGAGACCACACTGCGGAATGCGGTGGTCCCTTTTTCACCTCGAGCGGTGGTCCCTTCATCTCGAGCATCGTCAGATGCTTGCTCTCTGGATACCCCGGGGGCCCTCACTACCGCGGTTTTCCTCCCACCTCACTGTAGCCTCTGCTCAGGGGGCTTCAGTTCTAGTTCAGCTTCCAGATCTAGTGGTGGAGTGTCTGAGGCCCAGTCCTGATCGCTTTTCTTTTCTGCGTACACTGACCTACCTTAGATCCAAGGCTTCCATCTGACCTCCTCCTTGAGATCAAATTCAGTGTATCAGTATCTTCATTTGGATGTCCAATAAACATTTCAACCAGACATGGCCAACATTTAACTCAGTTTCCTACTCCTTTTAATTTTTCACTTCTCCTCACTCCTGCCCTTGCCAGAGTTCCTCAACTCAGCAAAAAACAAAAACCAAACCAAACCACCCCAACTCATCTTTTGATTCCTGTTTCTGCCTCTGACACACACCCAAATTGTCATGTTCTTCATTCCCATGGCCACTTCATTGCTCCTTGGGAACACTGCTATCTCGCAGCCCTTGTTCATGCTTTGTATGCTGCCACAAGTCCCACACTCATCCTAGCTGAATGATGACAAACTCCTGTACTAGATGGGAGGGTCTCCATCACACACAGGCTTGGGACATCTTCCCTAAGTTCCTAAATGGGCCAGAGCAGTGATTCTCAACCCAGGCTACACATTAGAATGACCTGTTTTTAAAAGTTGCTGGTATACTCTCAGTGACCTGACTGATTCAACAGGTCTGCAGTAAGATCCAAGGGTAGGGGTTTGGAGGGCTGTAAAAACATCTCAAGTGATTCTAGATGGTGTATGGCCGGTGAGACAGCAATCTCAGCTTGCCGGTGATTTCTGGGAGGGCAGAAGCACCAACTGGTGTGTGGTTGTGTTTCATGTTTTAGCAGCTGGTTGACTGGACCTGCAATAGGTATTTGCTAAAGACAGACTCAAAACTCCTGCTTGCAGTCCTGTGCCCAAGTTTCTGACTATTTCCAGCCCTTCTCCCATAGGTGGGTAAGTTCCCTTCACCACAGGGATTCTCCTGGAGGACTTGGCAAGTGAATCTTTCCAAAGGGGCAGGTGTAAGAATGTGAGCCCAGAGACTGACAGGCACAAGCCTTTCTCAAGGAGGGCCAAGGTGCTGGTTAAACTTGAAAGTAGCACCTTGTTATTTACAGACAAGCTCCTCTGCCTAACTGTCTCTAAGGCAGGTGGAGCTTGGCAAGGTTATAAACTATCAGCCCACACTCTCTTGTGCTATGGGGCAAAGATAACGGACCTGAAATGTGGGGACCGTCCCCCCGAACCCCTCCATCGCAACTTGGCCCTCAGCGACGGGTCTGTCCCTTGGCTGCCCGTTTCGCTCCCGCCAGCTCTTGGGTCCGCTACTCACGCGCGCACTGCAGACCCTTGCGCACGACGCCCCAGATGAAGTCGCCACACAGGTCACACCACGTGTGCGTAGCGGGCCCCGCGGGCTGGAATCGGTGGCCCCGGCCCGGGACCTGCTGCCTTGAGTTGCGCGCTGTGCCCGGCGCGATGCGCAGTGCATTGGCACGCTCAAGCCGGGTGCGGCCCGGAGCGGCGCAGCGTTCGGGTGCCAGTTCCCGCAGTTCAATGAGCTCAGGCTCAGCGGACATGGCCCGATCGGGCCGGGTCTCCGGCCGGTTCTGGGCGCTAGCGAGCGCGGGGCGGGCGGGGCCGCGGGGCGGGCCCCGATTTGGCACCGCCTCCAGGATTCAGGCAGAGCGGCGGGAGAGCAGAGGAGAGCGGCGCAATGGAAACCTGGGCACCCGCGCTGTGTCGGCCCACAGGCGGAATGGGACGGCGGGTGCGGCTGGGGGCTGCTGTCTCAGAGTCCCCGCCCTCCATTTCCTATCCTCCCTTCATCCAGCGAGCCACTCCCCTCCTCTTAACAACCACGACGACCTCAAGGGGCCACTCGGAAACAGGCGTGTTTGTGGAAGCTAGTTTTACTTTACAGTACTAGAGGAAGAGGGTCCCCGCATCCGGCCCTTGTCCCCGCCGCCCAGGCCTTCTGCCCCAGGTTGGGGAGGCTGCACCCTAAGCCAACCCGCCTGATAGAGCAGGAAGTGGGGAGCGCTTAGCTGGGGGGAGATGGGTCAACAGCTCTTCCCGCCTGCTATCCTCACCACCCGGGAGGCTGGGGCACTTGCAGAGGCCAGACTGAGATCCAGAGGTTTGGGGGGGGGGGACACTCGAGTGGGTTGTACGGCATGTGTGGTTGGCCCTCAGCAGCTGCAGCCTTCACTTGGCTCTGTCCCCCTGGGCCGCCAGGACACAAGCCTTTCCATGCGTCTCCCAGTGCTTGACTTGGCACTCCCTGCAGGCAAACGGGGCCGGTGAAGATGCAGTGCTCCGAGGGGTATGGGAGTGGGACTTAGGGGCCCAAGGTCCTAGGATACCCTCACCTGCAGCAATACCACTCATTCTGGCACCGGGAGCAACGCTTGGAGGCCTCCGCACTGCAGGAGGCACAGCGGGGCCGCTCTGGAGCCACTGCCTCGAGCACATCCAGCCTGTAGATCTTAGCCCACCTGGGAAAAGGGTCCGGAGGACTTGGCTGGACCTGTGGGTGGGGGGTCGGGAGCAGCCCCGCCCACACCCACGCCTGCTGCCTCCCTTCTCCCCCTCCTGCTGGCTCAGCAGGCCTCACCTGTGTGCCTGCAGCCTCAGGTCCTGCTCCGAGGGGCTGAATACCTGCCGCAGCTGATGCTTGGCGATAGCCTGCCACTTGCCTTTGTTCTCTCGCTCTAGCCGCTCCCAGATTTCTGGGATCTGGGGAAGAGAAGCAGAGAGTGGCAGGGAGGAGAAGCTGGTCAAGTGAGCAGTGGTCCTGACCAACCAACTTCCGAGAGCCTACCTGTTCCAACACCAGGTCCTTTTTAGGGGGCTGGGCTTCAGTCAGGGCCAGGTGGGCAAGGAAAGCTTGCAGGTCTGCCAGGCTGGGCAGCTGGTCCAGCAGTGTGTCTGTGAGGAAAGCCCGGAGCTGCAAGGGTGTCCAGGGGAGGCCAGTGTGAGGCAGTGCTAACCAAGAGGGCTGAGGAACAGAGAGGGCCTGGGCTGGGCTGGGCTGAGGGTGCCAGTGGGACCCAGGTCCCACTAGCTGCTGTTATCACCTGGGGCCCAAGGTGTGGAGAGAGGGCTGCGGCTGAGGTGGGTGGGCAAAAATAAACATCAAGGGTGACCTAGGGCAGGGGCTGTGGACACTCCTGTGGGAGGAGTTCCCTACCTTGAGTAGCTGTCCTTTGGCAAAGCTTGTGAGGCAGTAGCGGGCCCGGGCCTCAGGGCTTAACAGCAGGTTGTATAGAGCGATCCACACCTGCCCATCCAACTTGCTCAGCTTTTGCTGCTCCGAGGGGGTCACTGTCTGCCAACGGCCGCTCTCAAATTGCTGCAGCTTGCCTGGGAAGAGGAACCAACATATGGGGTGCAGGTATTGCATGCGCTTTGAATGACCCAGCTGTATGGGCCACAGGACATGCCCACGCTGGGGTGGGGCTCACTTCAGAGCAGTGTGACTCCTCAGTAGTGGACACACAGGTCTTGCCTGCGACAGAGTCCAGGTCTAGGCCCACTGTGGGTGAAACATCCTGGTATTCTCTTTGGGTAAGGGAGCAATGTTTATCTGACTGCAAGTTGCCCACCCCATCAATCCTGGAAGATGTCCTGGAAGCAGTGAACTGGGGCTTAGGCGGGTGGAGGAGGACCTTACCTCCTTCCTGCCGGCTCCAGGGACTGTGCTCCAGTAGTTCCACCAGGAGACAGGGCAGGTTGTGGGTGCTGAGCATGCGGCTCAAGGTGCTCAGAGAAAGGCTAGGACAGGGGTAGGGAGGTAAGCGGAGGTGACAGGCCCAGGCTCCCAGCCCCCCACTGCAGGCCCCAGGCCTGGCTGGGTTGCCCACCTGTCCACACAGTCTGTAATGTAGCGCAACACTGAGAGGGCCTTCAGTGCGATCTCAAATTCCATGAGCTCTGCCTGCTTCTGCAGTTCCTGGGGTGGGGGGTGGGGTGGGGCACATGGTGTTCAAGCTAAGGGGCGCTGGGGTCTAGCCCTTGCCAACCCCAGGGAACCTCAGCCCACCTGCATGGGGGTGCTGTGCTGGGACTCCTCCTCAGGGGGGGCACCACGGCCACTCTGGGCCACCAGGAGAGTCAGTTTGCGGTGGCAATAGTCCACCAAGTCCAAGACGGTGTCCTCTGCTGACTCGCATGCCTCCTGAAGGGCAAGAGGAGGGGAAACATCCTGGCTGTAATGCTCTGGCCACGCAGACACAATCCCCTTGCCGCCAGACTCTCGCTGAGGGCAGCAGCCAGTGGGCAGGGCTGCTGTCTCACCTTGTGGAAGAACACTGTCTCCAGGAGGTTGATGATGGAGGCTTCGTGGTGTAACTGTCACATAAAGAGAAGGATAGGGCCCGGAGCTGCTGAGAGCGGGATACAGCCTACCAGCCACCCTCTCTGGTCCAGGGCCCTCTGAAAGGGCGGGCGGCGTATGCACCAATGGCCCAGCTCACCACCATGTAGATGGGAAATGTGTTCTGGGGCTTGAAGTCCTCCAGCTTGCACAGCACGGGGAATACCTTCTGCTTCCACATCTCCACTGCAATCAGCTCTTCCACCAGTGTTGGGATCTTTGAGGGGGAGGGCAGAGGACAAGGGGTGAGATGGGCGTCTTGGCCTGCCAACAGGTCAGCCCAGTTCAGCCCTTCTCAAACTCCTCTGGACCCCTAGTCTCTCCTATGCCCCATGAATTCCTCCCCAAACCTCTCTCCTGCACCTTGAATCTTCATTTCCAGCTGCCTCCAACACCTCTGGGGGGCTCTCCATGCCCCAGGCTTCACATGGATTGGTCCTTGCCTTGTCCCCAGGCTGCCATGCTCCCTCTGCACTTGAGCCCTTGTCCCCTCGCCCCCATCCAAGTGCACCGTCAGGCCAGCCCTCCTGCTCATGCCTCCTGCTCGTGCCCTCTCTTGTCCTTGTTCTCTGATCTTCGGAGGCTTTTGTGTGCCTCGGCCTCACTCTTTTCTCAGGTCCCTTCGCAGTGCCCTATTCCTACCCCACCTCACCAGTAGGGGGCGCCACGTTTCCCTTGCAGAGGAACCCTTTGGTCAGTGATGATTAAGGTCATCTACTGGTGCCACCTCCTGGCTCACATTCCAGTTGAGCCAACTCCTGGTTTCTAACTCCCTCTCTCTCTCATGTTGGGGAGGTTGCCCCCTTCTATGCCAAAGTTCTACCTCACTTCACTGGGGGCCCCCCTCTAGCCTGACAGTCTAGTCAGGAATGCCTTTAGAACTGGGACCTCCCCCTACAGCCTAGGCTGTTCTAGGATCCAAGACTATCTCCCTAATCAACTTGCACCCTGCTCCCCACCAGGCATGCCAGGGTCCTGTCCCATAGGGGTGCTAAATCAAAGGTGTAACACACTCTTCTTTCTCCTTTGGGGAGGACCGAGGTGCCAGTCAGAGGGAAGTGTAGGCACCCAGTTCCTGAGAAGGTAGAGTGGTGGTGGGGTGTGTGGTGGTGAGAAGGCAGGAACCCTGCCTGACTCCAGCGTACCTTCCCATGGGTGACCAGCAGCTCCTGGATGGGCTCGCCCTGGCCGGCCGTGGCATCGAGGATGGCCTGCATGTTCAGTTTCTCCAGGTTCTCATGCTGCTGGTTCCACCTGCCACGGGGTGTGTGTGTATGTGGGAGTGCACATGCGTGCAGTAGGAGTGGGGGTCGGGGCTGGGTGCTATTGAAGCCTAACCCGATTCTGAGGGGTCCAAGGTGGCCCAGGACCATATAACCCTATCTCAGAGAGCTTTACCTCCCCACCTTAAGGCCCCCTCCACACTGGGCAAACCCTCCCCCTACAGGACTCTGGCCCACACTTCCCCAACTCAAGGACTCTAACGCCATGAACGCCACCTGACCCTGTATTCAGCGGCCTCACCCTCTGGAGCCCATATCGCGCAGCTTTAAGCTGCGCAGTCCCCGCACTAGCACATCAGCCTCGCCCGGCAGCAGCAGCTCCATGTCGCCCATGTCTCCGCAACGGACCGAGAGCGTGAAGGTGGGGTCTGGCTCTCCACGGGCAGCAGCTGGCTCTGGGGTGGCGATGCTGCTGACACGCTCGGGGACCACGGTCTCCCGCGGGGCCGAAGTCTGGGACCCTACGGTTGCGGAGTGGTTGCTGCGCGTGAGTCCTCGCCGCCATGGAAACGGTAAGCTCGGCGCCTGCGCAGTGCGACCTGGGCCCCGCCCCTGCTGGGTCCCCCACACGCCAGCGTCTTGCCTGCCAGTCAGGCTGCGGAGCAACTCTTTTTGGACTCCTGGAGCTCTCTCCCTCACAAACGGCTGCAGCTCGAGAGTTCCGGACTCCTGCGCCCTAGGCTTCCTCCTCAGATGGATGTCAAGTCGGCCCGCCCCACATCAGCTCTCCCTGTAGCTGTTCCCTCTCCGCCCACGTTTGATGCTCTCTGTGACCTCCTCGTTCCAGCATTTCTGGCGTCCAGCTCCGCCTCGTTAGCTCTACCCCCAAAATACTGCGCAGGGCTCACAACTTCTCTCCTGCCTAGTCCGGGCTGCCATTGCCTGTCACGTGACTGTTCCTGGACCCATTTCCACCCTTGACCGTCCTGAGTTTTCCCCTGCCTTGTAGCATGTGGGATCTTATTTCCCTGCCCAGGGGTCGAACCCCAGCCCTTCGCAGTTTGAGCCTGGAGTCCTAACCACTGGACCTCCAGGGAATTCCCACCAGGAGTCTTTTAAAGGTGTACATGAGGGACTTCCCCGACAGTTCAGTGACTAAGACTCCACGATTCTAATGCAGGGAGTGTGGTGTGATAACTGGTTGGGGAATTAAGATCCACATGCAGCGTGGCCAGAAAAAAAATTGTACATGAGACATTCCTTCCTCACATGACTGGATCTGACTGCCTCTGGCCCTCAAAACATTGAATACTATGGTGGCTCAGATGGTAAAGAATCTGCCTGGTTCTGGAGAAGGAAATGGCAACCCACTCCATTATTCTTGCCTGGAGAATCCCATGGGCAGAGGAGCCTGGAAGGCTACAGTCTAAGGGGTCTTAAAGAATCAGACACGTCTGAGCCACTTTCGCTTCCACTTCATGTAAAGATTTTCAAGTCAAAACTCACTGTCATAATAAAGTTCTCTTTAAACATAAAAAAAAAAAAAATCTGCCTGGAGTGCAGGAGACCCAGGTTCAATCCTTGGGTCAGAAAGATCTCCTGGAGAAGAAAATGGCAACCTGCTCCAGTACTCTTGCCTGGAGAATTCCATAGACAGAGCAGCCTGGTGGGCTACAGTGCATGGGGTCACCAGAGAGTCGGACACCAACTGAGCGACGAATAGATGTCAGAGAGATTTCAGATGTCCAAAGCAGCTTATCCATAGCTCTGCAGTCAGGCTTTTGCCTCCTCTCCTACCTCCCGACTTTGTTTCTTGCTCCTCTCCCCCTTGCCCTCTATGTTCCTGTCCCACGGGCTTCCCTTGGCTTCCTCACACATCCCAAAGCAGATTTTGATTCAGGGCTTTTGCACCTGTTACCTCTGCCTGGTATATTCCTCCTTCTTCAGGGTTTGGTTTACACCAGTTCAGCTAGGCCTTCCTTGCCCATCTAATATGGAGCAGTCTCAGCTCCTATCCCAACTCACTTTTCATCTCAGCTTTCTGATTGTTTCTTTCTGGCTGATTATTTTAGTTTATAATTAGTGGGCACTTTTACATGCCCATTGTCGGTTCCGCCCACCAGATGGCGCTCCACGGTGCCAGGACCACGGCGATTTCATTCACTGCTGGTTTTCTCTGGTGGCTGGCTCAGAGGCAGTCTTCAATAAAGGTAGGTTGAAATGAATGACTTTATTTACAGAAATGAGGGTCAACCTTGGGACAGTATGGACTAGTTTTCTGGTCTAGTCCTCATGCACCAGGCAGGGCTTAGCAGAAGAGTGGCCATAGCTGCGTGCCTCATCCAGCCACCACCAGCCTCACTTCCAGCAGATGATGATGTTGGGGTCGTTTTCCAGACGTTCATCCAGCTCTTGGTAGCTCATGCCTGAATGGTGTGGTGGAGGTGAGGTCAGCAGCCTTGGTGGGGGTTGGCCACGCTGCCCTGACCCCACCTCAGCGGTCCTGCCTGCTTCTACCTGTCTTACAACAGATCTCATCGTAGCTGTGGCAGCCTGTGTAAAGCCTGGCGGGGTGGCTCCGCTCATCCCGAGACACCCGCACAGGATACTTCTGTAGTCGCCGGATGAGGTTCTTCATAAGCCCGAACTGGATCAGCTTTCTGGGATGAGTGTCAAGGAAGAAAGAGGTGATGCTCTGGGCCAGGCTTCCTCCAAGCCAGGCCAGTCTTCCCTCCAGTTTTGTTTCCATGACCACACTGGCCACCAAAACCCACCACCTCCAGGAAGCCTTCCTGGATTAGCAGTGCCATGTGGTTCTGCTCACTAGGAGTCTCCTGCTTTCTTTATGACCCAGAGTTGCAGAGAGACACAGAGAGTGTACCTGCCCTCAGGCAAACCCCTCATGCTCCAGGGGGCCCCCACTGACCGTTCATCAACGTGCTGCAGCTGTTGGGGGTGGCGGCCAATGAGATCTCTCACAGTAGTGCCAGGGCTCAGGCTGCAGTACAACTGGAATACATCCCGGAGACTGGCCCTCTTGTGCCCTGCAGGCATCAAGGGTCAGCTCTCCAGGTAGCCCTGCCCTCCCTGAGATGGCCTCCCCCAGAGCCTGCCAATACCTTGCTTGGTCACGTAGGATAGACATGCCTCCTGCAGGGACTTGTCGTCCACCAGGTCCTGGACTTTAGGTGTTGGGCAGTACACATTGGAGTACTAGAGGGTAGTAGGCGGCACAGGGGCTTGAGTAAGGGGCTTGGAAGTCTGACACAGCCCCAGTTGGGCCCAGTCACATGATCCAGTCTCCACTTAATCAGACCCCAGACTCACCTACCTGGAGGATGGACACCAGTGTCACAACACCATAGTACCTGGGGGAAACAGTAGTGCTCAGCTTCTGAGGCCATGCCTTCCCAGCACCTACAATCAGGGCCCCTGGGTTCCTCCTGACTGGTAAACCTGTCCCGGATGTCACTGTTGCCCACTCACAGCAGGTTCTGGATGGCAATGCGCACCAAGTTGAGCTCCACGTCTGCCTCGGCTGATATCTTCTGGACATGGCGGAAACCGTCAATGTACGGCAGGATCTGGGCAGGGAAGAACAGGTTCAGTAGAAGTGGGATGAGGCCAGGGCTGCGGCCAGCCACAGGTCATGATAGCTGGGGAGGGCGAGCACACCTGCTGTGTGGTGAGGTCCCACTGTGAGTTGAAGAAATCCTCCTTGTCTTTGGTAAAGACAGGCACATCATACTCCTGGGCCACAGGAGGGTCAGGCCGCTGCTCAATCACCTTCAAGTGGATGGTGTTGGACTCATCTGCAGGGGACCCCACCCATATCCTCAGTGCCAACTCTGCCAAGAGGCCCTCAATTACTGGGCAGTCCTCCCAGCCACCCTGGAGGCAGACAGGTGGCTCTGCATAGGACCAGTCTCCTCCTTTTATGGAGCAAGAGACGGGTTCATTCAGGGGAAGAAACATGCTCAGGGAGCAGAGCCAGAGAACTCTGTTGGCCTCCCCCTCCCCAATCCCATCATCCACTGGACCCTGGACATCATCAGCCAAGCTCATGGCTATTTCCTGGCCACCAATTTGTTCACCAGTCTTGTTCTTGACTGGGCCCACCTTCCCCTGCCACTTTTTCATCCCTCCTTGACCCCTCTGCTGTCCTTGCAGAGGCCAGGCCATACCGATGGGCAGAGTGCACCGGCCTGAGGCATTTAGCTCCTCCAGCAGGATGGTCATGATGGGCACCAACTTCTGCTTGCTCTCCTCTGTGGACACGAAGCTGCTCTCTAGCTGGATGGGGCATGGACAGCATGGTGGGCACACCCCAGGACCCTTGGCTGGCATCCTGCCCTCGCAGGTTCCCAGATCTGGAGGGCTTTGGAGATATGCGAACACCTTCCCTAACTCTGCCTGCCCATCCACCCAAGCCCATAGTGTTGCAGACCTCCAGTGTGGTCAGGTAGCCAGCCAGCTTTTTGACGATGGGCTCAAGGGCACAGGTCTTGGCCTGGGCGTCACACACGAAGCCTAAGTTGAATAGCAGGGCGTTGCGGCTGTACTTCTTGTGCTCGATGCACACAGGGCAGCCTATCAGTTTCTTCTCCATGGCTGTGCTGGACGAGGGGAACAGGTAGGAACAAAATCAATCTCCTCCTGTCCCCATGTCTGTCCACTCCTCCTTGGGAACCCTCCCTACTCCCCTCCTAGGGGCTCACACAGTGATGAGCTTGTTCTGCAGCTCTGGCTTGGTGATGATGTACACCTGGACGGTGTCAAACAGCTCACGGGAGATGAAGTCCTCGGGGACCTGTGGAAGGGAGTGACAAGAAGCCCCTTAGGGGGCCTTATAACTAGGCAGAGTACACAGGGTGACCTTCAAGACCTAAGCTCTCTTCTCCAGGGTTTCCCCTTTCTCCCATCCACCCAGGCCTACTTCACCTTTGTGTTTCCACACACACATTATGTTTTCACCTACCTCCTGGCTTTTGCATATGCTGTTCCCTCCTCCTGGCACACTCCTCCCACACCTAAATTTCTATGCATCCAGGGATACTAGTGGATCACCACTCACACATCTCGTAGGACCTGGCACCTCCCTTGGGCCCACACAGCCCCATTTTCCACAATCACTGCCTATGCGATGTTTGTTTGCCTTGCCACACCGGGAGCCCGGGACTGGGTTTGAATATACTTGTGGTTCACGATTCCACGCGAACAAGGGAGCGGCGTGCCTGCGTGCAGCACGGGGCACGGGGTTCCATCGCTTCCAGGCAACTGACTGAACTCCCCGGAGCGACCCTCTAACCCCCATTGTCCCGCGAGCCCGGATGGCACCTGATAGGTGATCTTGGGTCCCAGCGTAGGGTGAAATTCGCTGAAGAATATGCATTCGATGCGGCAGCTGCTGCCCATGGCGCTAGTGGGGCCGGGGTCCGTAGCTGGCGCCTCTATTCCTGGGAGCACCTGTCAGAAACAGACCGGAGGCTTGGGCCGCCAGGTCAGGCACGCCTGCGCACTGATACACCCGTGAAGCCATCTGCTCAACAGCGCCTGCGCAGCGCAACTCAGCCGTGTGGCTACTAACAGGCCCAGGAAGTCCCGGGTGGGGTAGGCGTCGCACCCGGAAGTTAAGCGGCGGAGCGGCAAGGCGCGCGGCTAGAGCCTGGAGAATCCCACTTGTTCGGGACTGAACCACCTCCTCGGGTCGGCGCTGCGGGTGAGGCAGGCGAATCCCTGGCGTGTAGACGCAGCAAGCCAGCTGCACGTGGGAAGGGTGTGCGCAAAGCGATTCAGGCTTTAATTTCGACACAACCGGGAACTACAGTTCCCGTGGTGCTTCACGGTACTCCAGCAGGCGCTCCTGCCCGGCGACGGCGTGGTGCACTTTGGGACTTGTAGTCTATTACACGGCCTTGCGTATCTTACCTGGAAGGTGGACGGACCAGTGATCAGTGCCAATTCAGATGCGGATACACGCTGACTGGCCACCAGCCCGCGACTATTCCTGGGCCCTGCCTTAATGCTGCCCCTTCCTACCTTAACTCTTTGGAAGAGAGTGGCATTCCTGTCCTGCCACCCTTGCTCCAGTGAGAAGAGTGGACAGCAGGCACCAGAGGCCCTTGCTCACTCTGCTATGCTTTCAGGCTACAGCCGGCCTGAGTGATTATGGCCCTTTCTGTGGAGACCGAGTCACACATATACCGAGCTCTGCGCACTGCCTCCGGAGCTGCTGCCCACCTTGTGGCCCTGGGCTTCACCATCTTTGTGGCTGTACTTGCCAGGCCTGGCTCCAGTAAGTAGAATGCATAGTTACTGACTTTTGGGAACTGTCACTTTTCCTGGGGAGCAGGGGCAATAGGAAGCCTTGGGTCTGACTCTTGGGAAAGGCCTGGCTGGCTGAGGGACATGCCATGCTGGAGGGATAAACAGGGTGGAGTAGATGAGAGTGAGGGCTCTGCTAGCTTGCCAGGCCCCACAGAGTACCTGGCTCCTCTTGTCTGGGTGCCACACTTGGCTGCCTCTTGCAAAGGGCAGGGGGAAAGAGGGAGGGCTGCCAGAGGAATGGCGAAGGGTGGCCTCTGATCCAGGGAGAGTCCAGGAAGAGAGAATAGATACGGGGTCAGCTCCTTGCAGCAGGATGGGGCTTGCATTTTGGCACCACCTCCTTGGGTGGTGGGCTACTCATTTTCCTCAGCCTGTGGGGATTGGTGTGGCTGGGTTCTTGCTTGAGCCTCACAAGGCATCCTCTTCTCATTCTAGGTCTCTTCTCCTGGCACCCTGTGCTTATGTCTTTGGCTGTAAGTAGTGAACCTGGCCAGCTCTTAGGAGTGGGAGGGAGTATTGCTCTGGGGGTGGTGCTAGTGGTCTCTAAACGTAAATGGACACTTAATATCGATTTGGAGGGGTGGGATGTGGGGTTGGAGAAACTGTAGGCTCCAACTCCTGCTGTAGTTTATATCTGAAGACTTGAACTAGGGTAATCAAGATGCAGGGCAAATGGGTTTGTCTAAGTACAGAACGATGCTTTAGCCACCTCTAGGCAGGAGGCTTAGAATATGCATTTGGGTGTACCTGTACCTCCTGTCATCTTAATTTACAGTGGTTCACCTACTATTCCCTGAAACAGTGTACCCATGTGGACAACTCTTGCCAAGAAATTGTATCCAGGCCTGTCAGGGAAACAAAGCTTGTGAATCATTTATAACTGCCACATCTCAAGCCTTGTGTTTGCTGGGTAACATAGCAGAGATGACATTTCAGGGCAGCACTCAGGAAGAAGTGTGGAGAGGTACCTCTTGCTGGTCACTCATAACACATGTTCTGTCCCAGATGGTTTTCCACTCTTGCCCCACCAGATACTCTTGTCAGTTGGGGAGAGGATCAAGGGCAATCTGCCCACACTAGCTGGCAGCTTAGGTTCTATCTAAAACGTTCCCTGCTGCCTGGCAGCACCCTCATTTAGTGTCCTCTCTGTCTCTGCAGTTCTCTTTCCTGATGACCGAGGCACTGCTGGTGTTCTCTCCTGAGAGCTCGTTGCTGCGCTCCCTCTCACGGAAGGGCCGAGCGCGTTGCCACTGGGTTCTGCAGCTGCTGGCCTTGCTGTGTGCGTTGCTGGGCCTGGGCCTTGTCATCCTCCATAAGGAACAGCTTGGCAAGGCCCACCTGGCCACGTGGCATGGGCGGGCAGGGCTGCTGGCTGTGCTGTGGGCAGGGCTGCAGTGCTCGGGTGGGGTGGGGCTGCTCTACCCCAAATTGCTGCCTCGATGGCCCCTGGCCAAGCTTAAGCTGTACCATGCCACTTCAGGGTTAGTGGGCTACCTTCTGGGGGGTGCCAGCCTCTTGTTGGGCATGTGCTCACTCTGGTTCACTGCCACAGTCACCGGTGGGGTCTGGTACCTGGCTGTGCTTTGCCCTGTCGTTACCAGCTTGGTCATTATGAACCAGGTGAGCAACGCCTACCTGTACCGCAAGAGGATCCAGCCGTGAACTCTTCCCAGCCTTGGGAAAGCCTGCATTTGCCCCTCAGCGTGGGAGCCGGGTTTGAGGCCACCTGGACTCTCAGCTCGCTCACGGGACACCTCAGGCACTGGGGCAGCCGCAGTCCTGTGTGTGACATTGTTACTTGCTCCTCATGCTGCAGTACCTCCCCTTTCCTTCTTCCTCTACCGTCCCAGAGGAGTTTATGGATCATGTGCCTGGATGAAGTTGGGGTTGCAAGTCTGCCCCCCACCCCCAGCAACTCAACTTTTGTTGGTATGTCCAGAAATTACAGAAGAGAAGAAAGTAAAATAAAGTGGAAAAAAAAGACTGAAGGGACTTCCCCGATAGTCCAGTCGTTAAGACTCTGAGCTTCCAAAGCAGGGGGTACAGATTTGATCCCTGGTGGGGGAACTAAGATCCCACATGCTGCAAGGTGCAGTCAAAAAGAAAAAAAAGACTGAAAAGAATAGATGGGAGGAATAGCCCAGAGTTGGGGATAGTTCTTGCTAATGCCATCAGCAGGAACAAACGGGCAGCTGAGCAGGATGGGGACCTGTCTATGGCTGCTCACTGAGGAGCTGAAGCTCTGCTGCTACATCAGCCCCTGGGATCTGGCTGCTGAGTGTCCCATGCCACCTGGGGCCCTAGCAGGTCCTCGGGCTACAGCTGTGACTGGTGGGACTGTGTGTCCTTTCAGTTTCCCCAGGTGCCCACCGTGTTGGGAGTTTCGACTGTGATGGTCAAATCTGGGCAATGACAGGATGGGAGCTGGGGATGGGCTGCCTCTATAGGTGCCAAACACTGAGCACTCTTGTCTTCAAAGTGAACCATGGGTAAGAACAACTCCTTATGACGGAGAGGCCCTTAGTCATCAGATCTTCAGGCAGGGTCTCCCTGACCAGGTAGTGCAGGGAGAGAGAGTAAGGGTCTGAGGTGACAGCTCTGGGAAGGCTGCTTGAGAGTGGACATGTGTGGTGAGGCAAGGGAGAGTGTGACGCGGCGGGGGGGGGGGGGGGGGGGTGGAGAATGAGGGCAGTGGGCTTTTTATCCAGTGGGAACAGCCTTCATGACCGAGCCCTGGAACCTGAGGTCCCTGTCTAATCCACAGCTGAGCATGCTGAGGGGGCTGCACGAGGTGGTCTAATGGAGCCCAGGAGCCATACCTCAAAGAACTGCTTTATTGATACTGCGAGGCAGGGCTTGGCTGCCCACTCAAGTGGTCCTGTAGAAAATACCTGGGAGCTGTGACTGCTCTGGCCTGGAAGCAGCCATGGCCACAGCGGAGGGAATCAGAAATCTTGACATGAGCGTAGTCTTTCTGGGGGCAGGCAGGGATGTGCAGCAGCCCTGCACTGGGCTCTTGCACGGGCTGGACCCCCAGAGTGTTTTTGGCAAATCCTTGCCTTGGCTCAGGGCTCTCAGCAACCAGTGTCAGGTGTGAGGGTTGGCCCAGGAGCCACGGCACCAGTGTCCGTGCAGCCACTTGCTTGAGGCTGCCTGCTGAGGTGCAGTCTTACCTCAGATGGCCTGGGCTGGCTATGCGTCAGAGGTCCCATGCCTGGCAGAGTGGTTGTCTGGAGCTGGAACCAGGTAGCAAGAGTCCTGGGTAGTGTTGGCGAGAAATAGCAGAAGGCTGTGGCAACCCACAGCAGGCCTTCTCCCCTCTCCTCAGAGCAGTCAGTGCCCTGGAGTAGCTGAGAGGGTGTCAAAGGGGGCTTGGGAGAGGAGGCGCTACACTCAAGGTGGTCTAGAGTTACAGCGTCGGGGGAGCTGCCTCAAAGGTGATCAGGCTGGATTCTGGGACAGCCCCCTTCCCTGGGAGTGTGGGGGCCTTGTCTGACGGCATGGGGCTATCCATCTTGGCCCCAGCCTCCTCTTCATCGTCGTCCATGCTGGGCCAGACGGATTGGTCCTCCACTCGCTTCAACCGCTCGTTGAGGGCCTTCAGAGCCAGTTGCCTGGGGCCGGGGAAAGATGACAGGTCACTATGGGTCTGAACTCGGCTCATGCCCTGTATTCTTTCCCCCAGGAAACTGACTTGCCTTACTGCTCACATGCCTCTCAAAATCCTATGTGTTCTCCTTCCCCATTGCAGGGCCCAGGGCTCCGATTAGGGCTCTCTCTGCCATCTGAATGAGGACCCAAAGGCTGTAGAGCCCTCCCTCCATAGCTTGGACAGCTCCAGGCTGAGAACGCTGGGTACCTACCAGGCTGCCCCCAGGCCAGCCCCAGCCATGCTTCTGAGAATGGTGCCTAAGGTTAGGCAGAACTGGGACCCAGGGCAGATGGTGGAAGGGCAAGTCCCTGGACGCATAACTTCTGCTGGGCACCAGGATCGCATTCAAGGAATAACTTCTCCCTATCTCCTATCTCCTTGTCAGGAGTGTTGTGAACCCCCTGGCAAGGGTCTGTGGGGAGGTTTGAACTTAAGCCCTTGCCTTGGCTCTCAGCCTGGGAAAGCAGGGCCAACTTGGGTTAGCTAACCCCTCCTGACTCTTAACATTGGCCTTCCCAGAAGAAACCCCAACACCACCAAGACCTGGGTTAGAGCAGGAACACAGTGTCCTAGCGGGAAGAGAGGAAGGAAAAAATAGCCCACGTGGGTGGGGCACAGGCCAGGCCTGGTTCCACTGGGCAGACCCCTGGAGACCCCACCCTGAAGGAAAGTGGGGAAGTTCGCTAGAAGAAGGTATATACGAGGACCTGGGACCCTGCCCACCAGGAGGTGGACTGCTCATGCTGCCAGGTAATACTCCTCATAGTGGTCACTGTGGACCCCTGATGCCTCCAACTCTGCTACCAGCATGGAAGACCTGTATAGCCTTCCACGTTCCAGAAGAAAACCAAAATCTCCACCATGCCAGGGAACATGACAGGAGGTGCAAGAAGACAGGCACGTAAAGCCCCAGCACACTTCCACCCTGTCCTTCAGCCTGGCACCATGGCAAGTTGGCACAGACAGGACAGTCCTTCCCTCTGCTACCCAGACTCCCATTCTGGAGACTGCCTTGTCAATTCTGTTTAAAACCTGCCAAGGCATGCTCATCAGTCCGTCACAAGTGTCAAAGATGGGAAACCCTGCCTCCCATTATTGCTAGCTCTTTGGGGCAGGGAGTGTGGCATGAAGGAAGAGATCAAACTGCTTGGTAGAGTAATCCGTATCCCCAAGCAAGGTAACAACCACAAGGCTATGCCAGGAACCCACTTCCTGACACCCCCACCCCAACATGCCTCCAACTGTCCAGTTTCTTGGGGCTGTGAAGGTTTTTCGAATGTCCAGCCAACCCTAATAATCCAAGATTTCTCACTAGAGGAGGGGCCACCACTGTGGCCCTGAACATCTGAACATCACCTGAACATCTCTGAGGACAGTTCAGTTTCCACTAGGCCCAGCCCTTCTGGCTGCATCTCCTCCACCAGTTAAGGTTAAAGTTTAATAAAGAACTCAGTCTCTACGATTGATTAGCCACAGAGACACAAACTGTAAGGCCCACAATTAAGCATGTCATGTGTACTAACTCTTGCCACCTTGGACCACAGTAATCTGGCCTTCTCCAGCTGGAAACTCCTTCAGGAGAGGGGTGTGTCCCACACTCCAAAGCCCCAGTGGCGAGTAAGCACTGGAACAAGTCTAACTGAATTTGTAAAGTTGCCTGCTAAGAACTCATCTCACGGGTGCGCAAAAGCAGAAGCCTTTGACAAATGCACAAAGTTGGAACAGAACCTGCTCTAGATTTCACAATTCAAGTAATTGCATTAAAAAAGCAAAAACCCAAACAATAAAAACAACAAAAACCACTCAAGAATAATGTTGGAAACAGAGCTGTGACCACTCTGGTGAGTCCATAGACCTGGGAGAGAGAGAAAGAGATGGATTAAAATGAGATCTGGCTTGCCCTGGCCAAGGTTCATTAAGTGAATAATTCAGCTGAGACTCCTGATGGTGCAGATGGCTTGGTTTACAGATAATGAAAAGGCTGTCTCCATTCCCTGGTGTGGTCAGCAGGCTCCCTCGGTGTGTCACGTGGCTGTCCCCTGGGTTTGGTAACACATGCCTGCTAGAGTCAGTGTATATGGGCCAGTGGTTGTCTAAGTCTAGTTATACCCCAGGCTTCCCTGTTAATAAATAAGCTGCAGAGAAGCACAACATCTGAATTAAGGCCCAGGAAGAGGGTGGAAGTCCAGCACTTGGAAACTGGGGTGGCCCCAACCACCTCATAAGGAGCCCAGGTCTCCTTCCCTGTCCCTCTCTCACAGGGGAAAAAAGACCAGCAGGTTGTTTCTGGCTCTCACGGGACCAGCATCTAGAATGCCGAGATTCTCAGACAAGGCCAGGGTTATGTGTACCTGGCTCTCCACTAGCCCTCAGACAGTTCAAAAGGAAGCAGGGCGTTTCTTGAAACTTAAGCACCCTGAGTGGTAAGAAAGGCAACTTTTACTCCCTAATTTTGGAAAGCACCTTATGCAGCCCAGATACCGAAGTGTTGAGATCAAGGCCACAAACTGGATTTTCTCTTTCTGAATCTGCCCCAACATCTTACTGTAATCTTACATACAGCTGCCAGCCTACATACAGCAAGCACCTCAAAAGATGGAATGTGACCTGATCTGTAAGATTTTCCTAGCTCAACAAGGTTTTGGAAGATTCCACAGTACCTTCTCCGCTCTGCGTCTTGAGGGTCTGTGCCTGGGAGGCTGATGGTAATGGAGGATGGGGCGCCCACATCATAGCGCTTCACTGTCTTCTGGCATATCTTTACTTTCACCAGGAGGCCATGCACCAGGTTCGCCAGCAGGCCCACCACAGGCTGCAGGATCTCAGGGAAGAAGGTGGCGAAAGCAAAGTGGTCGGCCATGTCCCCTCGGCCTCGGCTATGGCGCTGGTAGAAGCGAAGATACACCCAACTGGAGATCAGCCCAAAGCCATAGGAGGCCAGTGCCGGGCTCTGGAGCAGTGTGGCCAGCCGCAGCAGCAGCAGCAGCCCCAAGAGCAGCATGGGCACCACACTGACACGCACCTGGGGCACTCGCAGGACCACACAGTCCCCCATGGTTTGCTTGAGCGCCACCAGGACACCACCTAGGAAGCCCAGGGTGCCGTGGATGCGGACAGTGAAAAGGTAAACCAAGTTGAAGGAAGCCATGTAGGTGAGGAGGTAGGCAAAGGCCCCCAGCAGCCCCACAGACACGTTCACCACTGAGAAGAAGATGAGCAGCTCCAAGGCCCCCCAGAGGGGCTCCAGCAAACGTCCAGCTACCACTACCGTGGCCAGGCTGATGGCCACATCCCACACATGCTGTTCCATCAACCCATGGGTAGCCAGGGTCCAGATCCAGAAGTTGGGCGGAAAGAGGTAGCCTGGGGTGACCGCCAGGCAGCCCGTGTCCACGGCGAAGGACAGCAGATACAGAAATAGTACGGCCGCGCACAGAGCCTTCACCACCACGCTGGCGCTGGACAGGATGGCCCCCAAGTGTTGGCGGGCGCCCGGTAGGGCGCGCTGCATCTTCCTGGAGGGCGTTGGCCTGAGGGAAGGGTTTAGTGGGCTAGGGGCCTCCCCGGGGCCTCTTTCCAGTCCGGCCCCGACGGGAGGCCCGGGCCCGACCTAGTCACTGGCCTATGGCCCCGGTGAAGGCTTCTACTTCCGGTCGGGTCGACTCCGGTCCCAAAGGGCAGAGCCGGGCCTGGTCGGTCGCGGGGCCGGGGCCTAGGCCCCTCAACGGGGATCTGAGGAAAGGCCCTGAGCAGCTTAGGGATCGCCTGCCCGCCCCCCCACCGTGTGTGGCCACAGCGTCGACCGGGCTGGCGGTGATCTCAGGGCTCGATCTCCTCCATCCACTCTGGGGCCTTTTACGGTCCGCGCGGCACGGAGACTAGTTCTGGGCCGGAGTCAAGTCTGGTCAGCTCCGCCTCGGCCTCGGTCTTGGTTTCGACAGTACCTCCTCCCTTCTCAGGCGCCGACAAACAGGGCGCTGCGCCTGCGCGCCCCGGGCGGCGGCAGGAAGCCCTCTGAGCGTCGGCCTTGCGGCTCCGCGGCATGCTGGGACATGAAGTCCTCGGCCAGACCGGGACCTGCGGCGATCTGGGCTCTGGGTAGAACAAGTCCCAGGAGGCTGTGCGCTGGGAGAGGCGGGTGTGCTTGGGAGTTGTAGTGCTCAGGACCGTTTCCGCCGGTTCTCCAGACGTGGGGGAAGGGCGAACGACCTCAGGAGAGCGGCGAGAACCAGCGGCTGCACAGCTGCACGCCACGCACTTTCTGAATTTCCCGGGAGGAGTGGCTCCATGTCTGCCCGTACACCTGAGTCGGTGTGTCCTTGTGGGCAGGTGTGCGAGTAAGAATGTTGGATGGTTCAGCGGGCGCGAACTCCCGGCACTTCCACGGTCTGGTGTATGCCTGACTCAGGTTGGAATTCTTGCTCTGTCATTTGACGGATGTGTGGCATTGGCCAAATTCCCGAGCCTTATTGAAACTCAGTTTCATGGACCGTTGAATGGAGATGATGACGGGACCTCCGTGACGATCCAAGGGGACTGGGGAGTAAAATGCGGTCCACCCTGGGTGCTCAGTGAGTGTGTTGCCCAGGCTGCCCTTGTGCACAAGTGAGGTGGAGCCCATACTTGAACTCCGGTCTCCAGCCCCAAAAGGGGTGAGGCTGGACCTCTCTCAATGACTCTTCCTCACCACAGTCAATGGATGATCCTGATGGAGAGGTCTCTCCACAAACTTGGTTCAGGCTGGCCTTGGACCTCTGCCTCACTGCAGTAGTGGCTTCAGGTGGCGCCACCTGTGCAAAACTGAATTTTTTAAATGTGCATATAATTAAAATAATTATGTTAACAAAGTACATTTTTAAAGTGCAGAATCCCTTCCTTTCCGCCAGCAGTACAACTGCTGACATGTGCATAGCCTTCCAGATCACAGGTGTTGCTATGCCTTAACCTTGGGGTCTGGGTTCCTACTGGATGCCATGCCGGGGTAGGGTTGCCAGATTTAGCAAATCAAAATACAGGCCAATGAGATTTGAATTTCAGATAAACAATTTTTTTCAGGATACATGTGACTCCAATTTTTATAGTTATGTCCCATGCAATGTTGGGAACATACTAAAAAATATTAGTTATCTGAAATCCCAGTCAGATTGGATGTTTTGTATTTTACATGGTGTCTCTAACTGAGGACCTCTGGGGCTGTTGCAGAGCGTGGGAGCTGTCTCAGGGACTGCTAGTCTTTGCTATGTGGCAAACCCTTGTGGAGGGTGAGGAAAGGTTTCTTCACTAACGCCTCAAATGCCCTCTTTCATTTATTTAGCATCCGAGGTTCCTCAGCCACAGGTCAGCTCATTTTGGAAACCTTTGGTGGTTTCTTGAATCTGGGAGAAAGGATTTCTCCTAAGTCTCAATTTGCTCACCAGAAGTATGGAGATAAACTGGTATCTAACTCTTTAAGGTTGTGGTGAGGACTCAGCTGGGTGAGTGCAGAGTATGGAATGTGTACAGTGTCAGTGGGAAACCTCTGCCCTGGTGGTTGTCTTTGCCCTTGAACACAAAGGTCACAGAATACAGTTCACTATTAAGAGTTAGGATTAGAATGAACAAGGGTGCAGGGCTTGCCAGAGGGAGGCCTGAGAGGGTTTGCTCAAAAGGATTCAGGCTCGTGTTCCAGTGTGAGCAGCAGTGGCCACTGAGAGGCCCAGGCCTCCCCTGGGCTGGGAAGGAGCAGCCATCATGCTTGTGGGGGGCGGGCAGAACTTGGCCTCCTCCAGACGGCAGAAGTGGCCCTCCAGCACCAGGTCATGGACTTGGACTTGGACTCTTCAGTCCACCTGGAGGACCTGCTCACTAGGCCCTGGTCTGGTTCTACTGGCCAGAAGCTTGCATCTCATCTCCATCTTCTTTCTTCCATGGTTTTGGCCTTGAGCCTCTGGGAAACTTTTTTTTTAAAGACAGTTTTTCCTGAAGGCTTTTGAGACGATTATAGAAAAAAAAAAAAAAAGGATGTGAAGGATCTGGCACTTAGGAGACCTGGGAAACATCATGCCTTCCACCCACCAGAGACCTGGATTGGTATGGCTTCACTCTCAGCTGAGTGGTAACTGGTCAGGGCCACCTATCTTCAAGCCACCCAGTCCTCACTGCAGGCAGACACAGTGTATGGGAACCATTTGAAGTGAAAATATGAACATTATTTAATAACTGATCTTCTGTAATAAACCATTTGAAAATATTTTACAAGGAATCACACACACAGTATTTTACAAAGTTTCTTGACTTTTTTGTCGCTGTTGTTTTTCCGACTTGTCTGTACAAAATAGAACAACCAAAAAAAAGGGCAGATAAAAGGAAATGGCCCCCCAGTCCCCCACAGATCCCCCGAGCCCGAGGTGAGGGGACAGCCAGGTCAGGTGGGTGATGAGAAGGATCAGACCCAGCTGGGGGTTGGACAACTACCTGATGGGGATTGTTTTGTCTGCTTTTCTGTTTTTTAAACTTAAAATATATATTAATTTTTCTGTATATGTTTGATTCTTTTTTATTTTTATATTCTCCATTGAGCACCTGACTACACTACAGTTACACACACGCCCCCACAAGACATGGCTGGCGTCTAGGCTGGGTGTACAGCATGGGTGCCCACCCTGGCACCAGCAGCAGGCATGGACCATACATACACACACTGAGAAAGCGACAAGCAACGTGACATTAATTAACGGAGCCATTAATTAATGCATCACCCTCCCCCCTCCTCCCAGTCCATCTGAGCCCCACAGCCACATCCCCCTGCCCTCAGTCCCCCAACGGCCCCCAGGCTGGGATGCCTTTGGGGGAAATGACCAGAATGAATGGTGTGAAGAGATGTTCCCAGGCCCAGCCTCTGTGTGTGCACAGAGTGTGTATATGTGTGTGCATATGTGCAAGTGTGTGTTCAGGGAGGAGCAGTTTGGCCAGGGAGTGTGTGTGTGAGAGGGAAAGAGATAGGCCTGAGTGTGTAAGGGCCAGATTGTGGGTTGGATGATCCAGCTAGGAGTGATCAAGTCACCGCCACTAAGGCAAAGGGCGATGTCTGGTGAGAGTTCCTCTGCTGAGGGGTGCAGGCAGTGACATGTGGTCCCCCTGGGGGCCTGACACTAGTGAGAAATGGTTACAATGAGCACCTGGCAGGGTCACGGGCATTTAGGGGACACTGGCGGCAAAGTTGGGACAGTGGGATCTTCCCCCTTTGCCTCCGCATTTGGCACTGTTTGACATTCAGCTTTAGAGACAGAGGACCAGCTGGGCTACAGGTTAGATTAGAGGCTGACGGCGAGCAGGAGATGGAGCCTGCATGTGCCAACCCTCCCACCAACCCCTCACCCCGCGTAAGGCTTTGTGAGCCCCTACCCTCACCCCACTCCACGGTGCGTGTCTGTGTGTGTGTGTGTGTGTGTCCTCCTGGGTATGTCTAACGTGAGTCCAGTCTCTGCCCTCAGGGCTCCAGTTGTGTATGGGGTTGTCTTAGCCAGGGTCACTGTCGCTGTCCTGCTACCTGCAGGGCTTGGGGAAGGAGAGGGGGAGGGGTGGCTGTAGGCCTGAGAGAGGCAGGAATCACTGGGGGCTCTCCTGCCGGGACTTAAGCTGGGACGCACAGCCCTCAAACTGCCCATCACCATTTCCTCTGTTATTCCCCGGGAATCCAGATTTAGTCCTAGGTGGGGCGGAAGGGCCAGGTTAGGAGTCCAGGTGGGGCAAGGCCTAGGTCTCCCACACAAAGGGAGCCTCAGGGCAGCGCAGGCAGTGGAGGCCTGGTTTGGCACCAGTACTGTGGCCTCCCTGGCCCAGCCCTCAGGAGTGGGTGAGTCCAGTGGGAATGAGGGGTCTGGGGACACTTTGACAGTCCAGCAGCGAGACGTGGCTTGGGGGCCAGAGACCTGCAGCGTCCTCCTTTGGCACCCCCCACCCCCACCCCAAGGCGCAGATTCTGGGGGCCAGGAGGGCGCAGTTCCTTCACTGAGGGAGAGGGCAAGGCTCTAAGGCGGGGAGTGGGGGGCAGGTGAGCAGGGAACGGTGGGGGAGGCCTGGTGGGGGGAGGGACACTCAGAGTCGGCGAGAGGGGTGGGCGTGGACTTGAGGCTGTGGCCGGGGAGGCAGGCCCAGGAGGAGCAGCAGCTGGAGGGACACCAGGACGCCCAACGACGGGGGGAACGAGGCTCCGCGGCCGCAGTCTGAGGTATCTTCCTGTTGGGAAAAGACAGGGAGCAGCCGGTCGGCCCGGGCGGGGATGGGCAGGGGGCGTGCAGGGCCGCACTAGCCCTGGGGAGAGTGGGAGCTGCGGGTCAAAGCCGCCCTCCCCACCGCTCCTTACCGTGGCGTTGTAGTCAAAGCAGATGTGTGGGCCTCTCCGGTACCGCGGTCTCTGCACCAGTTCACACTGCTCCGGGCCGTCCGCTGGGCATGGGTGGGGAGTCAAGGAGGCGGAGGCACGGAGGGGGCGCGCGGGGGTGGGAGGGGGCGGGGGGGGGCGGCGCGGGC